TCGATCATAGTTGTAATAAACATTATGAATCGGTATATTTTGGGGTAGGAGTTAAGAATTTTATTTTAGAATTTCAACACAAAAAATCGTTTAAATTATATATTTGATTTTCACCGTAATTTTATCTCTACAGCCTAAACCATACATTTTTGAAAGTTTAAAAATACCATAATCGGATTCCTCACCTATTAAAACATACATTTTGACATACGGATCATGGTATGTCCGATTCGTGGTTTAATTCGATTCGTTACAAATTATTCAATTAAAATGCAATCAAAAACTACTTTCGGCCAGATATTTGGTTGGAATGTGGAATATCTTAGCTATTGTATAAAATTATAGCTTAACTAGTGTACATGTTGCTCGAAATCGAGCAATTGCAAAGAAGTACAGGAGTTACATATAAACAAATGACTTGTTAAAAAACTAATAACAGTCATAATTTCCGATGATTTTAAAAGAGTCAACTAAAAGATTATTAACTAATGGAAATACTCACAATTTACATAACAGTCCTATTCCAGTTTAAAGGGTTATTTTTTAACTATCAAACTGCCCATGGACGGGAAATGGTAAGCTTACAATTTAAGTCAAAATAAAAAGTCTGTCAGCTTTTATAATGTACTGTACCTAAGTTATTTAGCCAATTTGTAGACAATAAGGTGTAGGCTACAAACTCTACAGAACTCTCATGCTTCCATGGGGAGCAACTAATTATTAATATTTAATTCCTGACAACAGCTGGAGTTTCAAAACAATGTTTGTTTCCCGTGTTAATCTTATGGAGAAATACGAAACTTTAAAGGGTCCCAGGGCCTCACTCTCTAATTATTTACCTAAAAAGAAAGTTTCCTGCACAACTTCACGTTACGCTCTTTCCAATGACACCAAAAACATGTCAATCGGTTCAGTAGTTTCGGAGGAATAATTGTCACAAAAATCCTGCTTGCGTATTAAATAAGTATAGATATAGATAGATGTGACTGTGGATCCAATTTTGTACTAAACACACGCTGTTGTTTGATCTCGAGTAGCCGACCCAGTGTTAGCATCAAGAGGCCAAAAACTAGGAACGTAGCGCCAGCCACGTCCCTTTCACTTTCAGCAATTTTACAACCCTCGCCAACCCTACACATCCAAAGACAGAGAGAGAGAGGGAGAGAGACAGTAAAACAGCTGTCGAAGTCGATCGGGTCGACCTAGCCTCGGTCGTCAACTCGCTTTCTTTTTCTTCGCCTACAAGCGTTTGAATAGGGGCGCGGGAAAACTACTTGTGTGATGCGGCACGCGTAATACCGGAAAAGGCCTTCGGGTAGTTCTAGAGCGCCGCCAGAATTGGGTCGCTGGAGTCGCGTTTTAGTTGCCACTTTACTATTGAAGATTCTTAAGTGGCAAAAGAGTTTATGACGAAATATACCCCCACCGCAACAAACCTGCAGACTAAGCAAATTTCTATTTGCCTGATTGGATTTACACTAAAATGACTTTTTGAAAATATCACAGTTATTCCATATTTAAATAGAATAAGTTTAACAAGTACTTAGGTTTGCTGCAACAGGGAGGGTAAAAGTGTGTTTTTTTTTTTTGTAAAATAATAACATTTTATAAATAAATAAATGATTTTTTTCTAATTTAATGCAAATATTTTCATAAACAAGAAAACTACTACAGTTTACTTATTCCCTGGTGTGAGTGAGGGTATACATTCAACTCTAGAAAATACGCTGGTCAACGAACGACAAAGAGCCGCCGATGTCTAGAGTTTCCTTGGATGGGTGGCTGACCGACCGGTGGTCATAGGGTGACGACACAAAGGGGGTGGTAGGCGGGTATCCGTGTCGGCCAGTGAGTAAGTGTTACCGGTGTTACTTCAAAGATTAATTATTGCCCTCGGGGAATCCCGAGGTAGGCGCGGCGCCGCCAGCTCGACACTTGTTTCGGTCACTGGTCTTGGTTGATTGTTTCGTTTTCGTTTTACTATCTTTTGATACTTTTACATAAACGATATAGCCATGATATATTACTAATGAAAATTCAATAAGTACATTGCACACTATAAAAAAAAACTTACATATAGGATAGTTCATGTAAACAGTTGTTGCTTAAATCGTTTGGAACTCTGGCCACGTCTATATTCTTCATTAGAGTGAACTTAACTGCAGGCTATTCAATAGACTGTGAAAAAAAACTGTGAATGATTTTATGTACTTGGTTTTTTTTATAATTATAGCAAAAGCTACCAATCTTTGTCATCCGCGTCATAATTCTTGAGCTAACTACTTCTGCAGTGATATACCTTACACGTCACAAAACTGTATTAACCCTAGATCCAGTACCTCTGCTCCAACTAGTATTATAACATTGCCGTCCAGGAATCTTTGAACATATAGTTTGACAATAATTGCATGGATAGTACAGCCGTTTCAACAAGGATTTATTTACTATATGTTCTTAAAACTGAAATTAATTAGAAATACTATTAAAATAAATTAAATTAATTAATTTGATGTGAATTTAGCTTTAGTTAACAACACTCATACAAGTTCATAAACATAAACCAAATACAATTTTTTTTTAATAGAAACGATTTGCAGGGTCGTCCAGATGAACTTGGAAATAGTACCATAGATAAAAGGAGTAGACATACTCTGTCATACATACATGTCTATACTCCTTTTATCTATGATAGTTCATTAGAAAATCTGAATATACAGTAGTGCCGTGCATTTGAAGTACTTACTCAGAACACAGACTTACTTGAGGACAGTTAAACAATAAAACGCAAAGATCCACGGAAGTAAAGACTACATTATTTAGTAAAAAAAAAAACAAGGATGCGTCAGTTAGGGCCAGTTAGACAATTGAAGTACACAGAATTGAATCACCATAGTATTGTCCACGCAACAACGTGAGAGGATAAAACATGTACTTCTTCAATTATAATTACATGTTTCTGTGTAAAACCGAAGACGTCTACAGACTTTACTAAGAAAAACTTCTCCCCGGTAACACAGGCAATGGGAATTCCTTCTAGACAAGGTTTTCAATAGGCCTACAACAAAATCATAAAACAAAAGATGTTTCTCAGGCTAAGTAGCACACTGTGCACTTCAGCAAATAAATAGTTTACCGAGATAACTATTGCTTACCGAGACAGCAGTGTCATTTAAGGAGAAATAGTACAAACTAATGTCACCAAAAGTCTAAATTCATTCTTTATTTTATTTTTTTAAGAGAGGGAAAAATAGACAACAACGCTTTAAATAACCGGTATTATCAATTTGTATTTATCTCTCAATTGAATAAATGTAACGGTAGTTACCTCACCACTGTTAACAATATTTGACCCTCCTATTACATAAATATGTTAGTTAATTTAATATTCAAACTCGTGTACATGTTGCTCGAATTCGAGATATTTCAAAGTAATACAGAATTTATTTCAAAACGAAAAAAAGTAATAATCAATGAGTTTAAAAGAGTCAACTCAAAGATCACCAGTGTGTAACTGCTGGAAATACTCACGATGTATATACAGTAATCAACATTTCCTGTAAATATTTTATCATATTTCATAAATTGGTATTGCTTTTTAATGTTTCTACAAATGTTTCCTGACTTATAGCTGCATAAGGTTGTCCATGTTTATCTTATTTATTGATAAACCTATGTATTGCACCACCCTTGTCGCCAGCAGTAAGTTTACAAATTTCAGTAATTTTTTAATAAAGATAAACACTTTTTTGATCATATTAAGGACTTCCTGTTGTCTGTAACAATTTTATTTGTTCAATCGGCGTATTTTTATTTATTTAGCTAAATAAAACATTTATTTCATTGAAGTAAACTAATATAGGCCTATTTATATTCACTGTACTGTGTATAACAAAATATCGATTGAGAAACAAACAATTACACGTAATAAGAACCTCGCTAGTCCGCTGCATTGTGATAGCTGAAAATCGTCGGAATGAAAACCGCCGCTACAAGATACAGAAGTTGGTACGCCTGCAGTGCCCTCCACAGCTGCGCGCGCCGCTGGCACTGCCGCTCAACACATCCCCACCTAAAAGACGAGCAAGTGGTAAGTCGGTCGGGAGGATTGACGACAAGTTGGTTTCTCGTATATAATAATTTAGATTTACAGGCCGGTCAACTGGACTGACGATGAAATAACTTGTCGACGTACTGGTTTTCAGTATTTATCTATTTAATTAAAAAAGACGGTCTAGTGGCAAGACGACCAAGTATCTTGTCGGTCAACTGGTGGCCCCCCTACTTCTTAACCTCTACTCTTCGAACTGTCAAATTTAATTATTTACAACTGACTTAAATTAATTGATATATTTACATTCTTTCAAAATGTAAACATGGAAAATTTGGAAGCCCATGGGGCGTAGCCCAAGGGTAATATGAAAATTAAATGATATAATATTGCATTGTCACCCATTTGTGACCTATGTTTCAAATTTCAAGTCTCTAGCTCTTTAGGAACTTTGTTTAAAATTGATATCAAAATTTGTAGGAAAGCGAGCTAATAAAAAAAGCCCATGGGGCGTAGCCCAACGGAAATTATGAAAATTAAATTATATAATATTGCATTGTCATCCATTTGTGAGCTATGTTTCAAGTTTCAAGTCTCTAGCTCATCGGGAAGTATCAAAATTTGCAAGAAAGTGAGTTAATAAAAACAAGCCCATGGTGCGTAGCCCAAGGGAAATATAAAAATTAAATAATATAATATTGCATTGTCTTCCATTTGTGAGCTATGTTTCAAGTTTCAAGTCTCTAGCTCATCGGGAAGTTAGTATAAAATTGATTGCAAAATTTGTACCGGACAAGAAAGCGAGCTAAAAAAAAAACGTTTTAAAAACTGGAGTTGTAACCAGGAGAGCTAAGTGACGGCAGCTCTGATTGTCACACGAGTGTAACACCTTCAAACTGTGAATAGGCCAGAACTCAGGGAACTTTTCTTGCGGACAGTATCTGGAACTTACCATCCACTCCCAAAAGAGATGTTTCTTTTTATGCCATCTGGAATATGCCTGGAGAAGTGGAATGCAATGCTGACACTTTGAAATTAATTCAAGTTGCAATTCTGGCCTGCCTCCCATGACCAAATCTCCAACAGACAAGTGTGAAGAGCTATGGCTATGAGTTGTGACTTCAAGAATCTGAAAAATAAACAGATTTATGAAGTTTCTGGCAAGCAAAAGTCAAATAACACTATTATGACAAGGTTTTTTTAAACATGTAGCACATATTGTATAAGCTACGAGGGCGATTTTTAACTAAGGGCCGGTTTTGCGTATAAATCCATAGTTCGCTTGTAAGCCGCAACAAGGCTCATCACCATTTCCTGGCTGCAATTGTGAACAGAATGACATAAATTTCAACTCTGTAGCTGTCATGTACATTTTGCCGTGTGTTTTTAAATAATTTTAAACAATTGAACATCCCGTCGCGCTCAAGGTAAGATCAGTGTTAAGTTTTTGAAAATAACAAATATATCCGATGCCGACATTCATCGCCAGATGACTGGAGATTATAACCCTGATGTAAATAGCACAAAAAATGCAGAAATAGGCTAGGAAATGGAGTTTTAAATGGACATGAAAATGCTCATTTCATAAGGAATTGTGTTTTTGGTAAGTACATAGACTTCTCGAAGAAGACCACTGGAGAAAAACATTTCACGGCCATTTTTACACTACATAACCCATTTCCGCACTTCACCATCGCTCATTGCATTCGGGACATGACCTTCAGTCATTTGGCGATGAATGTCAGAATCCCATACGTTTTTTGTACTGTGATAAAAAAACTTATCACTGACCTTACTTCAGACCATTATACCATTATATTTCCACACGGATTTGTATTTTGTACACAAATAAATTATTGTATAAATCTTGGCACTGCCCTCCCCATCTTCCTACCATTTTACTCTGCCTATGGTTTCATTACCATCTTTCAAAGTGCTAAAACACATAATGTAAACCATTTATTGGTAAATAATTATTTCCAATGTTCTATGATTTATCTCAATTTTTACAACTAGATATTTAGAATGTGATGAATTTATTTGAAAAAAAGTTGAGTTAAGAGCGAGCGGGCCAAACTCTAGTCTATTATCAATTTATCTATCATTTTATCTATTATCGCATGCACTGTGGATGCGATACACCCCAGTGTGGATTAACGTCCACACGGGTGAGTACTACGACTATCCGCAGTACTATCCTGATAATTAGACCAATTCGTAATTACCAAGGCAAAAATGTGGTTCGGATTCCAATATAAACTGTAGGTCCCTAAGTTGCCATTAGCTGTATGGGCTATAAATTAACAGCTGTGTCTAAGGAATGTCGGCCTTAGTCACTAACAAGACTACAAGATCGCGCCACTTATCCTACACTCATCTCCATTCATACTTGGCTTAAAATACCTACTTTGTATGGTCGCCATTTCATAGAACAGTATTAACAGTATTAATTTTATTTCACATGCTATAAGGGCTGTCCAGCTGGTAGTGTGATAACTAGGTCCGTACAAGGTCAAATAACAGCTCAGAATATTTTTGTGATTTTAAATCTAGAAAAGATTAAGTGGCAGCAGGTGTGGGTGTTTCAAATGATGGTCCAGTGATAACGATTATCTATATATATAAAATCCAATGTACGTATGTTTGTTTGTTTGTCCTTTATGGACTCCGAAACCGCTCGACAGATTGTAATGAAACTTTCAGGCATTATTAAGCATTATTCAAGGATGGTTTGTGTGAAGTTTGGTGCAGATCTGTCAAAAGGGCTCTGCCCCAGTGGCTCTGGAGATTCCCATGTTAACCTTATAAGTACTCCAACAGCTGGATCAACTAAACAATTTGATTCTTTGATGTTCAATAGCATTAAAAAGTTAATAGGGTGCAGCACTATTATTTTTTTATTTTTTTAACAGCTAATTTGAAACCAAAAGGTGAGTGAGCGTAGCGAATGAACATCAACCTGGAGGCGAGTTAGCGTAGCAAACGAACTTCAACCAGGACGTGATTGAGCCATGCGAACGAGCTCATCTTGAAAATGAATGAGCATTTTATTTTAAATGCTCGTTCATTTTAAAGATGAGCTCGTTCGCATGTCACAATCACGTCCTGGTTGAAGTTTGTTCGCTATGCTCACTCACCTTTACGTTGGAGCTCGTTCACTGTGCTCACTTGCCTTCAGGTTAGCTCGTTCGCTACGCTAACTCGCCTCCAGGTTGGAGTTCACGCTCACTCACCTTTTGGTTGCAAATTAGCTGTTGTCATAAATTTAAAAAAAATAATAGTGCTGCACCCTGTTGGTAAACCGATTAACCTTTAAATCCTATTGAACATCACAGAATCAAATTGTTTAGTTGAACCAGCTGTTAAGATTCTATAATTCCATTTAAATATGAGTTTTCATAAGGTTAACATGGGAAACTCCAGAGCCACTGGGGCGGGGTCCTTTTGACGGATCTGCACCAAACTTCACACAAACCATCCTTGAATAATGCTTAATAATGCCTAAATGTTTCATTACAATCTGTCGAGCGGTTTCGGAGTCCATAAAGGACAAACAAACAAACAAACATACATTGGATTATATATATATATATACAGGGTGAATAAAAAGTCAAGACCCCCCCTTCTAATATTTTTCCAAGTAAATATACAGAGATATCCTTTTGGTGGTCGAGCAAACTTAGCAGGAAGTTTCATTTTGTCATTTTGAAATTTTTGATTGTCCCCCCAAAAGGGGGGATTTGGGGGGCAACACAAATATTTTAAATGTAAACCCCCTTCAAGTGACACCTCATTTTGAAGTGTTTACAAAAACTTAAAGAATGGTAAAAACTAGAGGTCGCTATCTCTTCTCTATCCAAAATGGTAGCCCGTCAAATGTTGTGGAAAATCAACGGTAAAATTGTTAATATTGGCTATCATTTTGGATAGAGAAGAGTTAGCGAGCTCTGGTTTTCACCATTCTTTAAGTTTGTTTAAACACTTCAAAATGAGGTGTCACTTGATAGGGGTTTCTATTGAAACATTTTTAGTTGTCCCCCAAATCCCCCCTTTTGGGGGACACTCAAAAATTTTAAATGTAAACCCCCTTCAAGTGACACCTCATTTTGAAGTGTTTACAAAAACTTAAAGAATGGTGAAAACCAGAGCTCGCTATCTCTTCTCTGTCCAAAATGACAGCCAATATTAACAATTTTACCGTTGATTTTCCACAACATTTGACGGGCTACCATTTTGGATAGAGAAAAGATATCGACCTCTAGTTTTCGCCATTCTTTAAGTTTTTGTAAACACTTCAAAATGAGGTGTCACTTGAAGGGGGTTTACATTTAAAATATTTGAGTTGCCCCCCAAATCCCCCCTTTTGGGGGGACACTCAAAAATTTCAAAATGATAAAATGAAACTTCCTGCTAAGATTGCTCGACCACCAAAAGGATATCTCTGTATATTTACTTGGAAAAATATTAGAGGGGGGGGTCTTGACTTTTTATTCACCCTGTATATAGATAACTATGATAAATATCTATATAATTTTATTCAATATTCAACTTATGAAAACTAGTGAGATAGGCCCCTGGCCAAGCCACTCCGCTGTACCGTAACTATCTTTTGCTGTTTGGGAAATTTCTCCCCATATGCTTGTGTAAAGAAAGACACATAAAATAAATTGGTAACTAAATTAACTTGAAGCTACGGATAGAATAAATTTAAATTAATTACTTCATAAACTGTTCAAACTTACTATTGTTTTTATGCTATACAATCCTTAAAACACCATGCTACAAATTACTGGGTATTTCCCTTACTAGATATTGCTACTTTTGTAGGACTAAAAATTATGGTGATTAGGGTTCTTTGGCCAGCACCATTATTTTATTATTGCAAACTCACTGGTCAAGAACAGTTGGTTACACTTTTCATATGACGAGATACAATTTACATGGTTTTTGATTGAAGAACATCGAATCATTTAGTATTCAATTTCATTTTTAGTGCAATTTCATATTTATACCTTGGAAAACATCTTGGCCTTCTCTTGACTGTGGTTTGAAATGGCTCTCAGATTGTGGTTGATCTTCCCAGACAAAAACTGTGCGTAGTTCAACAACACCTGTGGATCAGCTGTATCAGGCCTGACAAGCGTCTCATCAGCATCTGGCTGCAACAATCACTAGATTTAGGCTATAGAGAAAGATACAACTAACATTACTATAAACATTGTTAAGGTATTTTACCCGAGTGCAAATTGTGAATTTTCATAGAGTCCAAACCTTATTTTGAGGCAAAACAAATAATACCCTTTTACCTTTTAAGGATAATGTTTAATTATGACAGTTATTAGTATGAATAAAGCTACTAATGTACAACAAATGAAATTTGTAGTTGATCCGTACCATAAAGATTGGCCTACATTCAGGGCCGCCCCGAGGGCGGGAAGGTAAAAAATTTAACAACGGCAAACCGCAAACGAATATTTTATGCAGGGACGTAACTATGCTATTCAGCACCCGGGGCAAACACCCATTTTGGCGCCCCCTCTCAATTAGACTAAAACTAATTCCTTACAAATCTTCTTAAAAAAATGTGTGGTGTGTCCATCGCACAATACATTAATACTATTTAGATCTAATAACCTCGAGTTCAAAGTACTAAGGCCTAGATATATGTGGTAAATAATTGAACACAGTACATATTTTCAAAGACAAATAGTTTATTTGAAAACGAAATCATTCAGGTTTACAAAAACACTTAAGGTAGTAAATTATGTACAAGTGGGTCAAGTATTAGATAAAATTAGTGCACCTGTTGCTCGAATTCGGGCAATTCCAAAGTATTCCAGGCGTTATTTCAAAACGAATAACAGTCATAATTTCTAATTACTTAAAAGAGTCAACTCAAAAATAATGTAATCAATCACTCCACTACAGCTATCAAAACTGAAAACGAACTCACTCTGAAAACGGACGCTTTTGTGTGTATCTTATGTGTTTACTATTCACAGCTGTAATTAATTAATACAAATTATTCGTCTGTTAAATAGACAAAATATTTTCTTCATAAGAAATACATTGGGATTTTGATGGCCTGTGGGGCAAAGCCCGAGAACTTTTATTACAGAAATTGGTGAAAGGGAGCGTCTACACGAAAAATACTTAATTTTGACACATCGTTTGAAAAAATCCGTTTATTATTAACGGAGGAGTAGTGTTTCGTAGAAATCGCCTTAATGTACAGGGTGGGGCAATGAAAGCGCCCCAATTTATAAACAGTACAAACTCAATAATATTCACCCTATAGATATAAATAGCACACCAAAACACAGCTTATCTTTTGCCATTTTAACTTAACAAAGTCATTTTTGCATTTCTTGAGAACAAAATCCTACAAGTGACTTCATTGTCCTACTTGACATTCCTTTTTAGCCGCTTGAAACTCCATCAAATACTCCTTCAGCACTTCTTCAGGAATCACTTTAGTTTTTGGACTATCCTTAGCTTCGGTTCAAGCAAATCTGTGGGGTGACTTTGAAAAACCTAGAACGTCAAATAGCTTATTAGAACAACCCCCCCCTCCCCAAAAAAAATAGCCAACGTAAAGCTTTCAACAACAAAAGCTTCCTGGCAAATCTCTTCGGAATTTGAGTTACTTGGACTCATATTCTTTTAACATTTGCTGGTGTACAAAGAGTTTTGCGGCACCCACCGATTATTTTTTTTGTTTAAGCGATTATCCTAAATAATTTTACCCAGTTCAACATTGTTTTCCAATCTGGAACAGCGCCATGTTGACCAAGGATGGAATACGGTCCAAACAATCTCTGGGTTTTTACACAAGAACCACTATTTTATAAATAGGTTTCCACATCAAAATCTCAGTGTTAATAGCCTCAGGCATAATATTTACTAAAATGGCATAGTTTAATTGATGTTTTAAGCACAGCTGATCATTCATTGTTGCAACAATTAACATGTGACAGGTAAAACAAATTGTAGCGTTCTCATTGCCTCACCCTGTATTATATATAAGGATTATAAAAAATGTAACTGAAATACTTATTTTAAACATTTAATTGTTCTTAGAGTTTCACTTTTCGGGCTTTTCTTGCAGCAAATGTATTGACAATCTCGCTGAAGGATAGTTTTGCGGCTACCTGGTGCTGAATGGAAATAATCGCTAGGTTTGTCAGCCTCTCTCTGTTGCCCTGTCAAATTCCGTAAATAATTTTTTATTATTTTAAGTTTGCTAAAACTTCTTTCATTCGAAGCCACTGAAACCGGAATTGTCAGGAATATTCGTAAGGCAGTCATTATGTTTGGATATACATCCTCCATTTTGTTCACACACAAACATCTCATGTGTCGATGTGTTAGTGTTGTGTGTTTGTGGTATGTGTTTGTGGTATGTGTGTGTGTGTGGTGACTGGTGTGAGGGATGGGGAGCTGAGGGGTAGGTGGATTCCGGGAGGGGGGGTGGAAGTGTTCTGACACCGCGCCGGTGCCGTCCTAGTGACTCATCGACGACAGACAGACAACGCAGTATGCTCATCCTCATACTCGCTCCGTACAAGTTCATACGTACCGTTAACATGATTCGTAAACAGTATAATAACAGTCAGATAGCATTCATCTTTTCACTTTGTACTTTCTTAGACTTGTATAAATAAAAAATATAATGATTTTCTTTTGTAATACAAGACGGATTAAAAATATTTTCAACAATTTTTGTTGGAAAAAATCTGTGCCCATGTTGGCGCCCCCAACAACTGGCGCCCGGGGCTCATGCCCCGCGTGCCCCCCCCTAGTTACGTCCCGGATTTTACGGGAAACTTGTAAACATATAATCGATGACAATGACAATTGAAAAAAAGACAATCTATAGCTTTCATTTCATTCATAAATTAAATACCGTCATTTAATATACAGCTCGTACTATTATTACTACTTTTACGTCTGGCATGTGACTTGTTGGCAATAATTCGAGTCCAAGACAAACACACTGCGTATTCGCCCCACCTACACTTGCTTGTTTCTAACCTCAAAGCTTAAACTCTGTTTCAAACCACATATAACAGGTTACAACTTACTTTGAACAGAAATGATGGAATTTCATCTGCTAAAGGTGTTGCTAAAATTGTTTTATCAATATTACTTTCAATGGTTCGTTCTGAAAGTAAGAATGCTAAACAGAGCAGTAATTGGCGAGGAGTGGCTGCTGGAGATATGAAGTAAGCAGCCCCCCTGTCTTGCCTGCACAATAAACTTTCAATACATTTGAGAGGATCACCTTCACCTAAAACAAAAACTTCATCATAAAGACTCACTCTGATTCCATGTTCAGAACTTTTAAGGTTGTCATTTGTTTAGTGAAGCTTACTTATTAAATAAGTTTCTTTGAGTTATGTTTATCAAAATAGCTAGTCATGTTTTAGAAGGAAACATTAATTTACTAAGTAATGGAAACTACCAATAAGAACTTTTAACAAAGAACTACCAACAAATAAATTTTTATTATAAAAAGGAGGAAAAATACCTTATTGTAAAACTATTTTCAGATGGTAAATATGTTTCTTCATTAGCTATCCCACTGACATAGTAGTAAATGGGTATGAGATTTGACGGGACTAATTGTTTTAAGATTTGTTGAATAAAGTATCCTTAATGCACTTTTTGTAAAAAAATAATCAATTACAAAATACTGTATTCTTAACTTCCCCTTCCAACTGATATAAAATTTACACTACAGTATTGACAATGGTGGTAGAGGAGACTATTTAATTGTCCTGTATAAAATAAATTGTTTTTCTGGGCATTTAGGTGTAACAACTAGAGCGAAACGGCATTATTAATTTGAATTTTGTATTGTAATAATAAGCATACATGGCTGAAGAGTATTTTTGTTTGCAAACAAACCACTTTAATAATGAAAAAGACTAGGCAGTATGACAAACTAGATTTTCCCCTAAACCAAGGACATATTTAAATATTTGCAATTTTAGAAATCAAATATATTCGGTATAAACATACAGGTATAATTTTTTTGTAAATGTCAGTTTTTTTAACGTAAAACATTGCCAAAAATTGTTGAGATTAATAGAAGATGAACATAATTATAATTAATGGTTTATACACAGACCAGTCATATTATAAAAGAAGTGAACTCGGACAAAATGGTCTGTGTTTTTGTGGTTGGCGTTTATGTACATCTGTTCACTTTGTTAAGGCTATTCCACTGTTTGTTAACCAGTTGAAGACGACTCGTTTTGTTCAACTTCAGAGGAACCCACAGAGAACAGCCAAACAAGCAATCTGTTCCTTCTTAGCTGCTAAAGTGCCAAGGTTTAAAGGCTCTTTCTAGGAACAAAAATAGGAGATTTATGGATGTATGCAATCCTTGTCTGCTCTAGGGTGTTGGCAGTACTTACATGAAATGATTCAAGGTGTTTCTCCTTACTTATTTCATTGACTATTGGATCAAGCTTATTTGCATTAGGCTAAACTATAAATCATTAACAATTTATCCTAAGGCATTTGATTTAATATTTTTTTCAAAATAATAGTATGAAACAACTAAGCTTATATATTAATCCCTACAGATCACTTACAACTGTAGTAGAAGTTATCTTTTTCATGGGAGCAACTAAGCTTGTGACAAATATCCAACAGTTGATGTGTCTGAAAAAAATGAATGATAATCAAAGGCAAAGGATTGGGGGACAAAGTGGATACTAAATAACAATAAGGTTCAATAACCTAATTAATTAATCTAATTAAAGTCTATAGTATAGTGTCATAATCTTGTTATATTACTCAATTCTAAATAGTAAGCTATTAGCATCGAGTATTAGGTACCTAGTAAACATAAAATAAGTTATAGTTAACACTTCTTATTGATTCTTTCAGGGCCGATTTACCGAATAGGCACGGTAGGCACGCGCCTAGGGCGCGAGGCAATTGGATTTTTTGGGGTGCGCCAAAAATTGGAAGATAAAAAAATTATTTGATTATTGTATTTAGGCCTACATGCGATTGCGGCAAATTCTTAATATTTCCCACGGTCGTATTGACATAATTATTGTCTTCCATGATCGCGGCAATATATGAACTTATCCCACGGTCGTGAGTAGATTATCGTCGTCTACCGCGAATGAGGCAAAATTCTGATCTTTTCTCTCGGGCGTGTAGGCATTATCATTTTCTTGCGCGATCGCGATAAAATTCTGATAATCCCTCACGGCCGATATCATTATTGTATCTCCTTCGGTAATGTAGAGATCATAATCGTCTCCTCCGGTCGTGAAGACATCGTAATTGCCTCCCGCAATTGCGGCAAAGTGTTGATCATATCCCACAGTCGTGTGAAGATCATCATCGTCTTTTGCGGTCGTGGCAAAATTCTGACTGTTTCCTGCAGTAGTCTAGAAATTATCATCGTCTTCCGCTGTCATTAAAGGTCACTGTTTTCATGCGCGATCACGGTAAATTGACAATTCCAGGTAGAAATACAACATTCACACATAATTCCCGGTTCAAAATAATCATCGCAACATCAAACTGAAGAACTAGAACGACAGAGGCAAAGAGAGGAGAGGGAAATGGAACGACAGAGCCAAAGAGAGGAGAGGGAAATGGAACGACAACGTCAAGCTGAAGCAAGAGAATTAGAACGACAGAAGCGTCTGCTGAGAGTAAGGACCGAACTTGAGTCTGCTTCGGTCTTGGGAAGTAGGCCTAGTCAGTCCGCCTCAGTTTTGGGCAGTCGTCATTTGGAATTGGAAGATAATGAAGACCCCGACAAGGTAAGCTTCAATATTGCTACTGTTGAGGAGGACTCTAATGTCAAAGTCAATAGGTGGCTGAATGAGGAACCGTCAGTTCCTTTGACATCGTCAGCCATCGTGTCCACGGCTATTGATAAACTAGCAGACTCCTTTTCAAAAGCTATCAATTTATCTAACCCCAACCAACCTGTCTCTTGCCGACAGCGTCTTCCATCCTTCAGCGGGAAACCAGACGAATGGCCCATGTTCTATTCCTGTTACAATAAGACTAAACACCTTTTTAATGACGATGAAAACCTTGACAGAATAAGAAATTGTCTGGAGGGAGATGCCTTTAAAATGGTAAAACCTCTATTTATATCAGGTAAAAATTTGAGTACAGTAATGAAAACTTTACAAATGCGTTTTGGACGTCCAGAGTTTAGGAGTCGAGTCAATGTTGAAGAAGGCGCGCATGCTTCAACCAGTCAAGGAGGATGACGCTGTCAGCCTTATTGAGTTTTCAACAACTCTTTTAAACCTGACCTCTACCGCAGAGTCGTTGGATTTGGAAATGTACTTAATAAATCCTCTCTTGTTGAATGAACTTTTAAGTAAGCTTGAATCTCACAATGTGATTTATCAACTATCGTGTAAACATTGTCCAAAAGATTACATTGGCCAGACTTCAAACTCTTTAAGAGTTCGAATGACAGGCCATCGTTTTGATGTGGTACATGAAGACAAAAGAAAACCAATCTATAATCATGCCGCTCACCACAACCAAAATTTTGAAGGCTGCTATACCCTTAAAGCCCTTCACAAAGTAAACCCACATCAAAACTCTAAATGCAACCAACTGGTTTTAAGAAATTCTGAATTGGCTCACCAGTTGGTACTGAAAACAAAGTTCCCCTCTGGTTTAAATTTAAGATAGTAAAAAAGTGATTCAACTCAGCTGAATTTTAATTTTCTTTTAGGCTGATTTTATTATTTTCTTTGATCTGTACTCAATCATATGTTCTCAAAATTCAACTATTTGTAAACAGTTCATATTTATTTGTTTTGTTCATCTTTACATTTTTCATTCTCTTTGCTTGAAAACGTTTGTATTAAACAAAAATTTGCAATGTTTCATGTTTCATTCATCATAAACTCTATCAAGATCTCCTTAAGAACATAGGCCTAAAAGTAAGGCATTTTCATCAAGAAATATATATGTGTCCATCCGCACGATAACTTGAGTAATTTTTGTCCGATTTTGATAAAATTTGGTTTGAAGGTGTAAGGCGGGATAAACTTGAATGAGTTCGCGAACCAGCATGATCGGACTATGGGAACGGGGGTTTATGGGGGATTTTATGGGGTAAAAATAGGTTTTTCCCATTTTTGACCCTAAAAACACTAAATTTCACAATTTCTTTCCAAACCATTTTGTAGAGCTTAAAAACAAATAATTTAGTATATTGAAGCGTTATTATGCGCCTAATTGTTACGGATAAAATTCAAAAAAATTGTAATTTTAAAATTCCCATGTTATTCTTATGGAGAATACTTATAATTTTTTTGTCATTTGTTTAGTGAAGCTTACTTTATTAAATAAGTTTCTTTGAGTTATGTTTATTAAAATAGCTAGTCAAGGATTTCTATAATTTTAAGAAACAAATTTGTGCTCTTTCGTTGATTAAAGTGAGATTTTTTTGTCATTTCCTTTTAAATTTTTACTTTACTGTACTTTATTTTCTCTTGTATAAGAATACTATTTTACCCATTAAATACATTAATTTTAATCATTCTGACCATTTCATATTATTTTTACACCTAAATGATTTTCTAACTATTTCAAAGTACCACGGAAAAATCTCATTTGCACGCTTATTTTTTGTCACATGCTATTGAAAGGGGGAATTTGTGCCCCTCCTATGCTGTAGTATGTAACTTACTGTTAATGTTTTCTCAACTGAGTTCACATTTACCCCAAAATTGTAGGCGATTGTGAATGCCGTCCGGGCAATTGTGAATGCTGAATAACTCCTCGACTAAAAAGGGGATGAAATCGGCTTATATGAAATATTAAGCCCAAAACATGTATAATGCTAAAACACTGATCACATTTTTTAAATTGCTTACAATTTTCTTATAAATTGCATATCTCTGAAAAATTTGTCATTGGCGTTCACAATTACCCACGTTGACCCTAGGCTATGTGTGACCATTAGCGTGGTAGCTTGAGCAAAAATGATATCCAATTTTGATGAAATTTGGTACAAACATGTAAACTTACATCTACCAATTCAAACGTGTTTATGAAGCAGCATGATCGCACTATGGGAACGGTGGTAGTGAAAATAATGTAGGCTGTATTTGGATTCAAGAGGTAAAAAACTATAAAGTAATAGGCCTAAGGCCTATAACAAAATTTAAAATTCGTTTGGAGACACCTAACTTATACGAATAAATACCCAATATTCAATTGAAGATATAGGCTAGTTAGGAATTTTAAAGTTTAGTTTCATGCATAATGTCTAATAACTTATGACTTACCTGTTCAGGGGCTAACTTGTTTAACTTTAGAAGTCTGAAGTACTCAGGTGTAATTGATGTACCTAAAAGACGGTTTAAAAGTTTGCACAAGTTTGTTATTGAACTGACTAGTTCACTCATCATTTAGGTTATAGGCCCTAACCTAAAATTTGTAAAATATCTGCAAAAAAAACTTTTAAAACCAATATACCAGTTCATTACCTGTTACATAGTTGTTGTAACTTGTCCTCAAAATGAAAAATTACCAGTGTTTAATACAAATGAATAAAAAAGAATTTGAATCAGATCAAAATTAATGTTGAATTTAGACTATGGCGGTACAAACCATTGCACAAATGCACAAACTACAAAAAAAAAAAAAAACAGAAGTGGAGTCAAGTGGACGACGGACGCCGGAGCCGGAGTGGACTGGACTGGACGACGGACGTTGTTGGATGGTCAAGGCGTCAAGTTCGAGTCCGAGTCATGTCAGTCACTCAGTCTCAAGTCGGTCTCAGTCAGTCATTAAACACAACTCAGCTGTTTCTTTTTTCAATTAACAGCTGACTCGCTGACTGTAAATAGAGTGATTGTAGAGTAGAGTAGGAAGGAAAGGAATCGGAATGTCATTCTTGAATGCTGAGTGCTTACGCGCATGCTCGACCTCGAAGTTCCGTTAGGCGCCTGGTTTGACTTGGAATTCTCCGTCATGTGAAAGTTTAGTTTTTGATTCCACTTGTTTACATTCCTATTTTAGTAATTTTCATTTGAAGAAATACCTATTAATTTAGTCTGCTTCTTTCGGTTGTGTGTAATAGTATTGTTGGTCTAAGTCTAAGTTTACCTACTGTCATAAACGACTTTCAGGTAACTTACCCACCTCAGAAGCATAAGTTAGTGGAGACTGAATTTTATTGGTAAGTAGGACCATGATATTTTAGAGCCTATTATTCTTTGTTTAGGCCTACACTAGTTAATGCAATATTTTAAAATGGAAATTACCTTAATTCTTAATTATCGCAGATCTGGCTTGTTAGACTGAGTAGCGGAATGGTCATAGTGCTTAATTGTCTTCAGCCAGATCTGATATCTGAAGGTTGCTACTTCGCTACTTGTGGTTTGAACCTAAATAAAGGTCCGAATTCAACGGGGAAGATATTATCTACAGAGTCAGTTCCCCTAGCTAAAAAGTTATAAATTGCTCTTTAGATAACTTAGGCAGTAGTTGGTTGGCTCCGACACGGAAAACATACTACTATAACCCAGAATGCCAACCGCATGGTAAAAAGCGTTAAGTACTTTGAGAGAGCTTTGCCTGTCAGTTCGTAGGCAGCGCCACCAGCATTGCTATGCTGAGTGTATAGCAACGTTGGTGGCGCTGCCTACTTAAATTGACAGGCAAAGCTCTCTCAAAGTACTTAACGCTTTTTACCATGCGGTTGGCATTCTGGGTTATAGTAGTATGTTTTCTGTGGCTCCGATCAGCTACATAACTTATGGCATTATCATATATAGTACCTATACAGAAAACTCCCTCATGTTTGGATAACTCAATACCGAACTCTTCTTTGAAATAAAAAAAAAATCTGAACCATCCAGAGTTTGGTAGATAAATGAATGGATAGGCCTAGGTTTTAAAAATACACATAGGCAGTAATCTACTGTTCTATACAAGAATACAGCCATAATATCCGAACGAATACGGTGATAAGCTTATATAAATGTTTTATGTATGCTAGAAAAAGTGTTTGTCTACAGACACTCCATCGTGTTTCAATCATATTCAAACGGAAGAGAATCTAATAGCCTAGGTACCGGTACCTAATTCATATTAGTGGTTGGTGGGATTTGTTTGTACTCTAGACATCAGGACAGAAGTCTTATGCCTAAGTCATTAGACAAGCGAAGTCCCCCTATAACCTTAAAAGTTCAACGATGCAAGAAATCTTGTAGCCAGTTTTAAAACATAAAAAGCCACTTACTTTTCTCAGGATAAAACTTTTGACTTTTTATAAGTAGGCTATATGATCCACTGAGCTCCATTAACCAACATAACTACTTAAACATGGCAAGCACAGTGAAATAGTGGATTAGTTTTATTTGAAAAATTTTAAATTTAGGACATTAGCTAGTGGTGTAGTTGTATTTTTCTAGTGCGGGAACACTCTCATTACTGTCAGTCACGGAAAAATATGGGTCGCTTACCAATACTGTATAGCCTATAAGTTGTTTGAAAAAGCAGAGTAGGAACACCGTTACCACACATTCCCGCCCCATTAACACCACTGGAATTTGTATGTTTACGGACAAAAAGTCATCCTCAAACTATCTTTTACTTTTTGGTATAGTAGGTAAGTAATACTGTCTGCAACAATTACAAATAATTTAGTAAGGAATTGATTAGATGGGTTTTACTGCACTAAACTAATGACAGACCAACATAAAACTAGTCCTTCAAGTATCAGGCAACTACGGAACATGTTTTGTGATATTTTAGAATTTTGTTTGGTTGTTCCCAATGATGGTGGTGGGTTTTCAAGTTGGAAAATGCCATTAATTGTTGTCAAATATTGTAGTACGGAAATATTAATATCCTATTATCGCCTGTTTTTTTTCTTGGTATAACCTTTGAACATCAATTAATCAATCAATTATTTAAAAGCCCCTATGTGGGTCCCAATATGAGTGTAGGATGAGTGGCGCGATCTTGTAGTCTTGTTAGTGACTAAGGCCGACATATTTCTTCGTCACAGCTGTTAATTAATAGCCGATACAACTAATGGCAACTAAGGGACCTACAGTTTATTGTGGAATCCGAACCACATTTTTGCCTTGGTATTAACGAATTGGTCTAATTATCAGGATAGTACTGCGGATAGTTGGTGCACTCACTAGTGCGGACATTAATCCACACCAGGGAGTATCGCATCCACAGTGCATGCCTATAAATATCCACAATTCGTGACCTCCTAATAGCTGGATTACAGGACGACGCCACTGTCCCAGTCTTATTGATACAACTAGACATTCCATCCCCATGTTAAAGTTATTGCCAGTTTTTAAATTAAAATAGTCGTAGTTGATGGGAGCCACCGACAGCTTGTGTTGATCTAAATTACTAATTTCTGCCAAATAGCCTACACAAACTTAATTAGTATTGTGATCTATTTAGCAACTGTTATGTCCCATCAACTTCGTTAGTAACAAAAAAAATGTATTTAAAATAGAATCTTAGGCATTAGGGCATTCTGTGACTGGCTCACACAACTATAGGTTCTTTTTAAATTTAAAAAAAATGGTGACAGCTGGGCTATATAGATGGGATGTTTACTTCAGTATCCAATAATCAATTGTATAATCATAGATAAAACACTCCCTTTTAGTAGATTTGTCATCCTTATGGAACAGCTGATGCTAATTTTATTGTTAGTGTTTTAGTTTTATTGTTGCCAAATGTAGCGGTGGGACACACGGGAGGGACGATGGCTAACTTAGTGTCAGCGTTCGCCGCCAGAACCGCTAAGTTGAAAAATTTAAATTAAGTTAATTTTATAGCCTAATTTTTAGTTATAAAATTAACTTTTTAATTAAAAAATTAAACTAACTGTCATAACCTAACCTAACCAACCAAACTTGTGGATAATATAAAAAATATATAAGATAAAAATGAAATGAATGTTTAGTTATAATTTTGAATTATAAAATCAATTTTAAAATTTTGTACAGTATTTTAAAATTAAACTATCATAACCTAACCTAACCAACCAAACTTGCTGATGATAAAAAAAATAAGATAAAAATCAAATAAAGCAAAAACTTTGACTAAAAGTTAATGACCCCGACGGGTTTTGAACTCGAGACCTCCTGAACACTAGTCCGATGCGCTACCAACTATGCCACGAACGCCGCTGGAATCACATCGTTTCGTTACGGTAATCGGGTTGCTTCAAGAGAAGACATTAGCCACTATAGATATGACGTCACCACACCTTTAGCCATCGTCCCTCCCGTATGCCCATTCCCAAATCCAGAGGTAGTTGTTTACAATTTGTTTCTTGTTACTTCAGTCAATTAAAACCTCATTTAACCAAATAAAACGATATAATCTTAAACAATAACTGGTCTCCTAGTTAAAATAACCAAATAGTAAAGCACAAATCATGAAAATAATCCTAAAATAATAGAAACCAAATTTTTTCTACCCCAGCAATCAGTGTCGATGTACTTGAACTAGACAAAAAAAAAACAAGCTTCAAAATTAACAATGGGATGAGGAGTCTACTTGTGTTGCTTAGTCTGTGGTAACTTAAGGGAAACGTTAATAAAACTGCACCATTTTGGATAGTCAACCTTATGAAGTCGGATTTGCAGCATCATTTTCTACTAATAAAAATATATTAAACTGTTCGAGAACTTTTCTAACACACTGCATTTACAAATTAAATGCCTTCCTTGATTAAGTAATTTGATGTTTGATGTTTGTTTCAGACGCATGTAATTATGAGAGTTGTGCTGTCCGTTAGAAGCCCAGTTGTTCTTGTGAGCTTTGTCATATTCTGTTGTCTTGCATTGCTGGTTCTTAACATATATGAACTGCGTTGGATAGAAACAGAACATATCCGTTACCATCATGGAAATGAGCAAGGACATACTGAAGATACTAAGAAATTAGATAATAAACCAATCTTCCTGTCATATAATAGAGATGTAAGCTTTAGGCTATTCACATACGTAATAGAGATTATTAAAAACTGTTATCAATAAAAGTGTTTTTTTTTGTTTTTGTTTTTTTTGAGCGAGGGATAATCTAGGCTGTTAATTAGATTAGATTAGAACTACATGAAGCCAGATGTATATTTTAAGGCGGAGATGAGTGAAGGATGAGTTTTGAATGAATTAAATTATTGCTACATTAATGATTTTAGATCAGCTAGTTCTAGGACCACTTCTTGAAAGCCCAGCAATAATCAAGGACAGCTGGGTCCATTTTCGAACCATTAAGAAGCTACTGATTTTTCTCAAGAATAAAGCTAGCGACCTATCATGACAGTCTTTGTTGAGTTCTGCCCAAATTACTTTAGTTTGAACCTCAAATTGTTGAGGATGGATAATTTGACAGGGTGTCCACATTCTGGAAAGTCAGGGATAGTCATGGAAAGTCATGGAATAAAATTCTGGTCATTGAAAGTGGTGGAAATTCCCAATGGTGGATGGATGTGAGGGAACTTTTCAATGCTCTAGTCGGCCGTAACCCCGTCTATTGTAGCATTTTTCACAAATGTACGACAATTCAATTTATTATAGTTCTATTCGTTTAAATGAGTTTTAAGTTTGTATTAGTTCAATAGAATCTGTTCCTTCCTTATCTTATAATTTAATTTAATATTTGTAGGATATTGTTAGTGTATATTAAAATTTTACAACTTTATTATTACTACTCAAATTTACCTAAAACTTACCTAAATTATAGGAAAGATAAAACGGAGTGGAGAGAGAACTTGGCCAGCTATGGGGACGGAGGGGGCTGGGTTTTCTCTTTTCCTACCTTATTTTGAATAGGTACCATATTTTATATATTACTAGCTGTAACCCGCGGGCTTTGCCCCGTTTAACTTTTAATTTTCAAGATTATCTTGTTCGCATGGCTCAATCACGTCCTGGTTGAAGTTTGTTCGCTACGCTCACTCACCTTTAGGTTGGAGCTCGTTCGCTGCGCTCACTTGCCTTCAGGTTAGCTCGTTCGCTACGCTAACTCGCCTCCAGGTTGAAGTTTGTTAGCTACGCTCACTCACCTTTTGGTTGCAAATTAGCTGTTGTCATAAATGTGAAAGAAATAATAGTGCTGCACCCTGTTGGTAATCCTTGTAACTTAAATGCTATTGAACATCATAGAACAGAACCAACTTGTTTAATTGAAACAGCTGTTAAGATTCAATAATTCCATTTCTCATAAGGTTAACATGGGAAACTCCAGAGCCACTGGGGCGGAGCCCGAAAGGATTTTTTAAATAAGAATATGCCTATATGTTAATCGGGAATGTGAGCTATCATCATGCCAAATTTCAGCCCAATCCGACCAGTATTTTTCGCGTTCACTTGTCACAAACATGCATCCAAACTTTCTCATTTATAATATTAGTAGGATAAAATGTTAAAAATTTAAAATGTTAAATAATGTTAAAAAATTATTTTTATATTATAAAATGTTGAAGGAAAAAAAATTGTTTACATAATTATTAAATTTAGGTATTCTAATAGTGAAATATACTTATTAAATGTACTACAAAACAATTTTGAAAAAAAAATCATGTCAGTTTCACTTTCTGGAGAATTGCCCGATTGAAGTCTCAAATTGTATTACTCGACCAATTCTATGATTGAAAATCAATAGCTCCAGTATTGTTCATGTTTTTTATATGTTTTAGACTCAAAATAATCAGTAAATTATAGGCTTTAATTTGAGTTATTGATTGTTTAAATCAGTTTAGCTCAAGATACTGTATTACTCAATCAAAAATCATAAACTTGATTATTACTCGGATTTCATATTTACTTTTACACTGCAGAGCAGCATAGGTCCTCTAGTAAAAACAATATAAAAATAAACAATATGTATACAAATTAGAACGAATGGTGTTTTTGGCCTCTGTGGACATCAAAATGAAAAGTTAAATCGGTCCTGGGCCTACTGGTCTTACCGTGCCACCTACGGTAATAGCTACAGTACTTCCATATAGGGAAGTTCGCTAAAAGTTAGAACTGTATGGGTTCAACGGATCTTCACTAAATTTGTTTCATCTTATCAAAAAAACCGGAAACAAATATTAAGATCTAGTGGAAGAAAATCACAAGAAAGGGAAGTAAATTGGAGTGTTCCACAGGGACCAGTTTTTAAGTTGTTCCAGGCAGTTCTGTTTTTAATTTACATTAATTACCTTCCAATGACCAAAACTATTCTGTACACGGACGATACAACTTCTTTTTTTCAAAATTTAGTCCAGTATTATGTTAATGTACAAGTTCATTAAAAACAATATTTTGATTCTCTCTTGTGTTTTAGGTAAGCTCTGGCCATTTAAAACATGTTTTTGACATGTTCCATCACTTCGGGTATATACAAGGTAACCTAGCAACTGATGATCACTGGGACGTCCTCTGGGCTCATGATTACCCTTTTAAAAAGCTTTACGCTAAACTGAAAAATCTTAAAAGTCATCAGATGGTGAGTAGCAACTGAAATCCTGCTTAAATCTTACCTTTTCAATATTAATGTTGATTAAATGGATTGCTATGATTCAATCAAGCCTCTGGGGGGTGTGGACCACCCTCCTGAAAAAGTAGAGTGATCAGGACCGCTTTAGTCAATGGGTCCGGTGGGTCTGGTCTCAGGGACCCAAGAGTCTTAGGTTTGTTGGGGGCAAAAGGAAGAGAAAGATTTTCATGCAAGGAAGGGGGAGGGGTGCAACTATCTCTTGGGCCCATAGCTACAAAGTAAGCCTACCGTTATAGGATCGACCGGCAGACACAGAGGTAATTTAACCTTTTATTGATTGTCATACCGATCCGGAACAACAAAAAACAACATAAAATGAAGCTATGTATAATAGTTTGGCCAGCATATCTTAAAATATGCAAACCAACTGCTGTTCGTTATATAAGAAGGTTTCAACTGAATATTATAAGATCCCCGTGCGTAGAACGGGTACACAGCTAGTCATATTGATAACAAAGAATTACAGGTCATCTTTTTTTTATTGAATGTGAATGTTTTAGGTCAATCATTTCCCAGGTTCTGGATATATTACAAATAAGATGGATCTGGCAACGACCAATATTCCATACATACCTAAAGCATTTAAAATTCCACAACAAAAGCAACAACTGCTAGACTATGTAAGTATCTTAAAAGATTAAAGATAAATGGTCAAATAAATCAACTGTCTGATTAATAATTACTTCCGTTGTTAAACCAATAAAAGTATATTTTAGCCTTCATGAAAACAGTATTTCAATGTCTAATATGTTTGAATTTCTACTAAAATCTTGTACCAGCCAGCCTTATGATAAGCCATTTACTAACCTGATATGAAGTGTACTCCAGCCCCTCTGAGTCTTATCAACAGACAAATATTGTGTTCCCATTTGGCCAAACAGTGCTCATACTGGGAGAGTGAATGTACATCATAAAAAAGGTAATGAGAACAGAAGATGGCATTTTAATGCCTCTTTCTCGTCCCTGGCTACCAGTTCTTTAGTCATTTAACCTTCTGCGAGATTCATGGTAAAGAGACAATTAAAGTAAGATATAGAAAAATCTTGTCTACCTTGAATTATAGTCCTCGCCAACTTGAGTCAGCCCAAATTGACCTGCAGGGCAATTACCCGCTGGTCTGGTCCCGCACGACCCTTTTACAAACCTATTAGCGATGCTTCCGAGTACGCCCTAGTACAATATTAACATTAAAATTATAATCTGATATATTATTTACTCGTTTACATTAATAACATAAATTTAACAAACATTTCTGTTTTTGTCCCATCCAAAACGGATAATTTTTACGGTTTTTGTTTTGAGCTATAAACAAAATACATACAACACAAACACAAGTATAAACCATAAACATTGTCGTTCAAAAAAGCTTTGCTAATAGGGTTGTAAAATGGTCTTGTGGGACTAGCTGATAATTGCCCTGCAAGTCAGTTTGGGCTGCCTCCAGTGGCGGATTTACCATAAGGCACTAAAGGCACGTGCCTAGGGGCGCCATCCGTTGAAGGGCGCCTGGCCGCGGGTAACGTGGGGTGTAGGCACATGACCGAGGCTGTAATCCTCTTAATCACGGTCGGTTGACCAGTCAGTTTTAGGTTGGTGTCGAACGCTTCCGCATCCGTGACGGGCGGCGTGCGTGGCGGCGGGCGCCAGGTGATTATCGATCGGTGAAGATGACTCACGTTCATGTCCCGACGTGCAGATGCAGACATAATATAGACTGCGAGTAGCAGTAATACTGGGGTAATACTTTTACTCCATACATCTTGACTCAAAGCAACGAGTTGGCTCACCGGAGCAACAGTCGTGGTGGGGAGCTGGGAGGAACGATGACGTCATATTACTTCATTCAAACCCTCACAGTGGGTAGCGCTCTTAGCGGGAACGATGACATCATCACTTACTTCCAGCTTTACGCTTTACTGATTTCTTTAACAGTCTAAAATAATTTATTGGTATCTTCTATGATTTAATTACATTTATAGATTAAAACTTTATTTTCTGAAGGAGGTATGACCTCATCATGGTCAATATAGGATAGCTGTAATCTGTATGTTATAAAAGGTGATGTGACACTAAACTTGGCTCTCGGTTGGTAAACCAGTTGGCCTACAGATATCATAGAATTCATTTCAACATTTATCTTGGACTTATTTACCACACAATTTGAGCAGTTCCAGATTTCATGAATCTATTTTGATTATCTAATCTTAAATCATTTTGAATCAACAGCTTGTGCATAAGCCAGAGAAGAAGGTCAAAATTTCCTCCCTTGCTACAGGAGAAACAAAACTTAGTTATTTTAGTTTCAAAATTACGTATAAAACGTTTAGTTGCCTTGAATATTACCCAAGCAATTATCATTTAAAATCCCGGCATTCTTTTAAAAAGACCCTGTATATATATATATAACTAACTAGAATATATATATCTACTAGAAATATAATTTTTAGGGTTCTCTGTTGTACTTTTACTACTGTAATTTAATATATTACTAGTAAACACGTTGCTCGAAATCGAGCAATTGCAAAGAAGTAAAGTAGTTATTTAAAAACAAATAAAAGTCATCGTAATTTTCAGATGAGTTTAAAAGACGTTGAATTGAAAAATAAATAACAGCAATTAAATTATACAGCTGATCAAAATGTAAACAATTATGTTATTCATAAGGATAACATGGGAACTTTAACAGCCACTGGGGCAGAGCCCAAGGGACTTTTTCAAAAATGTAAGCTCAGTTTGCAAATCTAAGCGACACGCTCTTTCCAATGAGATGTCAATGGATAAAATCGGTAAGGAAATGGCGGAGGAGTTCAACCGACAAAGTTTTATGTAGCGTATTAATTATATAGATCAGCAGCCCTATTACGTGAACACCTAAATTCATATATATATATGTATTAATAATTTCATAGAAATTATAAGAAAAACCAAAACAAAACCAATTTAAGCTGAATACATTTGAATTGAATTTAGTCAAGAACGGCAATGTGTTCGGCGATTAATTTAGGCTATTCATATTCATATTTATTCTTGTCTCAACAACAAAATATAGGTTTTTCTTAAAACCTATTAATACATCTTTAAAGTAGGCCCTACTCATATAGTGACTATGTTTTTCCTGGAAAATGCATTAATAAGCATGCCAACAACGGGAAGTTTAATATTGCTTTTGCGCTGAAAACTTTCCTCAATCGCGGAACACAAAGGTGCGGCCGGCCGAACGGGCCTAGGGGCAGCGCCGTAGGTAAATCTGCCACTGGCTGCCTCAAGTTAGGGTGGCGAGGACTATAGTCTTGCTTGCGTGACTTAAGTGAAATCAGCTTAAGCACCGGCATCCAGCATACGCAAAATATTTATATGATGATGAGTCGATTTTTGCTATTTACCTCATTCTCTGTGGTTTCCGGTTATGCGTTATTTAGTACAACCCTGAAGTGCCTACGTCTCAAGAACGGACACATTTATTTTCTAGCTCAATAGCTAGCAGAACAGCACAGTTGCCAACAGTTCCATCAATTGCAGGGAGAAGTTGGGAAAATAACGATTTACCACTCCCTTATCCACCTCACCTTCTATGTAGAGCACTTTCAATTATCTGCCTTTTAGTCCAATGGCTACTAAATCACTGATTCTTCGTATCTGGGTAGTAAGCCAAATATAAATCAGTTAAAATGCACAAACCTGTAGAACAATGTGATATTGAACATTTTATCCATGGACGACTGAGCCACACTAAGGGCGTACGAGTACATCTAACATGACACTCTTGCCCTCCAGTGGAATGGACACCGACCCCCATATAGACCTGCCACAGTGAACGTACAAAATAGCATATAACTTTTACAAAATGTAATACAGTAGAGTCCCGAGAGTCCGAAATGGTTGGGACCGGACCCATTTCAGATTACCAAATATTTCGGATCAAACTTTTTTTGTATTTTTTTAGTTTTTTTTATTTTTTTTTTTATTTTTATTTTTTTTATTATTTGTTCTGAACGCTTCTGACCTTGAAAATGTTTTTCACATTAGCTTAGGCTAGACATAGGGGTTGCGGCATTATCACTTAGATCAAATCCATTGGTGATTTGGCGGGATTGGAACCCAGGACGAAAATGAAAAATGTTTACTAAAAAAATTGCAAAATGTTTACTAAAATACTCTATACAACAAGTCTATTTTGATTTGATTTATCTTGGCTGCTACAGAATACTTTGACGAGGTACAACTAACTGTTGTTACACGACAGTGCTAGCAGTTTTGGCTTTTCCCAATGGGTGACAGCACGTACTGAGTCATCACTTTTTGCGTCTACAATAAAATGTATTAATGTCGTCACGCGATGGTGCTAGTAGTTTCAATTTTCCCCAATAAGTGACAGCACGTAGTGGGTAAAAAAAAATTATTTTTCTGTTTTGGATTAAGCAACTTTCAGATTACCGAAGTTCGGATTATCAGGACTCCACTGTATTGTTGTAGCGCTTACCTTACTAGTAGCATTATTGTACCATTAGACTAATCTACAGGAGTAGGTAATCATTATCTACTGAAATAAACATAATAAATTTTGCAGGTAAAAAAATATCCCAGTAAAAAGTTTGTACAGAAAAGCAATGATCATCGTGGAATAAAAATAGAAACACTGGACACCTTAGATCTGAAGTCAAATGGAAGTTTTGTGCAAGAGTACATTGACAGACCGTTCCTGGTTGATGGGTACAAGTTTGACATTGGAGTGTATACGATCATCACGTCTGTTGATCCCCTTCGAGTTTACATGTACAACGGAGACATCCTCTTTAGGTTGTTGCTAATGTATTTTAACAGTGGCTATACTGAACTCTTATAAGAATTGCAGGCCTTTGTAAAACGTTCTACTATTGATAAAAAATGTTATTTCATGTGATCTTGTAGTCTTGTTATTGACTAGTCTTGCTGACAACGTTCCTTAGACAGGACTGTTAATTAATAGCCCATACAGCCAATGGCAACTGGACCTTGTCATTTACAAATTGATCTAATTACCAGGATAGTACTACGGATAATCGTAGTATTTACGTTAAGTGGGTTCTACCAGGCAGCCTCTAGTTCAATTCAAAATGGCGGATTATATGGATTGAAATATAGTTTGAGATTGGACATGCCTCTATTGTACAAGCTCTCAACAATCTAAAACTAATTTGTTTCCAATGATTGTGTGCATTTTGTGCTCTTAACATACCAAAGCATGCAATGGATGGGGAAAATCAAAATCATTTTTAACTGTTAAAATTACATGTAAAAAAGCCTAATTTACGGATTTCAAAATGATTTTGTACTAAAAAAACAATTACGAAGTTTCCAGTGCATTGTTTGGATCTTTGTGAATATTTTACAGTTTATTTCAACTCGATAAACACTTTAATAATGCCACGAGGTTCTTTTTTGTAGTACCATGTTTACGCGGTAATTGACGGTAATTTCGGTAGTTGACGGGTAGAACCCTCTTAATCCACACCGGGGAGTATCCCATCCACACATCATGCCTATAAATCTCCATAATTTGTGACCTCCAATATGGACTGGGGAGGATCAAGTCCCCCCCCCCCTATAAGGCAACATGTTAATAATTTTTTCCCAAATTTTAGAAGTCATGGAAAAATTTTAACTAATAACTCAAATTTAGGTCAAATGTGTAAAATCAACAATTATGTAACCAAATTTAAATATTTTCCAGCCTCCCTTATGGAACGGTTGAATGGACACACATGCTTAGCACTCTAATTGGAATTTATTGGTTCCTTTGTAGCTTTACCTACCAGTATACCTGCTTCAAACACTAATTTGCATGTATCATCATCTTTATTCAAAGAAATGCAGTGTTCCAGAACTGGTAATATAGTGACTACTTATTCTTACACAAATTCAATTGACTCTTTTATTTTTTTTTAGTTATCAAATAAACGACCAGTTAGAGGATTTCGTTTATCATGTTTTATTTTGTTTTTAAGATACTGCCCAGAGAAATACCATCCTTTTGATCCCAAAAATTTAAACAAGTATGTGATTGGAGATGATTATTTACCAACATGGGAGATTCCATCTCTAAGGAAGCTGTATAACGAATATGGCTATTCTATGAGAGATTCATTTAACGAATATGTTTCTAGAGCAGGTAAGTAACATTTAATATTTATTTTACTTTCCTTGCAGTAAAGAAGCTTTTTTCGGTATTCTCGTTAATAAAACGACAAAGACATTTTTCTTAATGCTAAATGTAAGTTAATGCTTCACCCTGATTAAAATCATATAGCCTACAAAGTATTTTTTTTAAATTGATCATAAAATAAAATTATTACCTTCAATCCAACCACAGTTGTTGGATAAGTTAATAATTTTTACCTAACCCGCCATGTTAAACTTCCCTATCCCAAGCGTGGTGTATATAACTTCGTTACTTCTCGAGTGATGTAAAGTTGGAAAAAACTCACTAGGTGACGTAATGAAACCCATTTAAATAACATTTGAGTGCTTAACTTAAAAAATATACCTCTATGGAGCCAACGACGTTCAACGCTAGAAATCAGCTGCGCGCTTGAATTTTATTGTTATGTTTTGAAGAATTTTCCTAACCTAGCTTTTGTTTGTAAATGAATGTTACTGTTAGAAGATCAGTGAAATGGATAATGAAAAATATTGTTCGTAACCTCCTGTATATTGTCGGGTCAGGTAAAATCTTGTACGTTACACGTTACGCAAGAGCGTGTTTACATCACTTCGGTAAATTATGCAACTCGCTTCCGCTCGTTGCACAACATTCACCTGCGTGATGTAAAAACGCTCTTACTACACTTGTAAGGTAAATAGCTATTATTCCAACCAAGGGTCACAATGAATAATATATATTTTTTTTATTACTCCATTTTCCTTGAATAATTTCCTTTTCTTTTAAGGTAAAGATCCAAGCAAGATTTGGCAGCAAATTGAGAAAGCAATTGAAGCAGTTTGTTTGGCCAAAGAACCCTTCATCATTAAACTATTGTCATCATTTCCTTCCAAACGCAACTTCTTTGAGATGGTTCGTTTTGACTTTGTTATAGATGAAGACCTCAACGTTTACATTATGGAGGTAAATTTTAGTGTTTGCGAGGCTATAGTTTGAATAGTTCATGAAGATTGATAGTGTTATATTTTTAAATCAGCCATGTTTCAAAATGTTTAACTTTTAAGATTAAGGCTATACTATTATTGTAGACTAATCACTAATCAGTGACCCATTATATTCCGTTCTGCACAAAGCTCCTGTCTCATAAGAGCTACAGTATCGAAAGGCTCTCCTAACATGAGTAGGTCACTCAACTCAGAACTTACTATGGAAGTAACTGCTACTTTTTCCCAGAATGAGGTTTGAGTTTTGAAGGATAAACTTGTTATACTTTTACAATGACCTCCACTGTGGCCTCAACACTTTTTTTTTGTGTATCGTTTAGGAAAAAGGTCAGAAAAATTACTCACCTACTAAGGTCATTATTGTTAACTGGTAGATTATTAAATTGTTATATTATTGATAGGTTATTGTCAGATTAACAGTTTATTTGATTGGCTTGTTTTTTAATTAAGACGAAAGTTGTTCTGTAAAGCAGTAATGTACTGAAAAACTAGATAAATTAAAGACATTTTTATTTTTATTTATTCATTTCAATATACAGAATTATACACAATTTAATAACTTTAGTTTTCACATATAAAAATTTACAGTTTTAGTTTACAAAGGACTTAACTTTAAGTTAGGATATGTGCAGTTTTTTCTATCCTATATTTGTCTGGAGATAAAATTGTATACCGGTACCAATAGTTTATGTCAAGGTTTTAAAGAAATTAAATATTAACTATTGACTTAAAAATTAATAATATCAATGCAATTGTAATAACCACAAATTAACAACCTTCAAGTATGACCAGAACTGTGACCAGGTTATGTTAAGCCGGTTGGGCGCCTCGTTGTCACTACTACTACTTACTTTTGATCAGACAAAAGACAAAAGCGCTGTGGCTCTGACAACTGTCAACCCTTCTATAAAAAAAATGCATGCTTCGCAGTTCATACGAAGTAGGGCGGCAGTTTGTCATACAACATACAAATGCGTTCCGCTCTTGTGAAAATGCCAGAAAATAAAATATTTTATCTATTTAAATTCTAGTAAGTAGCCTATCACAATTCCATTAAAAATATCAATAAAAAATGGATTTTTAATTGTTCTTACAACACAACTATTCAAAAGCCAATTTTGCGCCCCAATGCTTCCTGCGCCCTTAGCTGGAGCCTCTGCCGCCAATGCCTTGCTACGTCCCTGAGAACTAGTGTTAACGGTGGTATTTTTTTATTAACAGTGTGTAGTGTGTCTTAATTACTTTGAGGAAGTTCGGCGACTAGATACTTACTTATATATCCATTGGAATACTTTTTCTATGTCCACCTGATCAGAACATCCGCTGTAAGGAGGATTCATGGGTTATTTTCTTTTTCAAATTTTCAGCTCAACAATTTAGAGAAAGGCAGTAAATGATCTCAGCGTTGCATCACTGTGTTGTAACAGTCCAATTGAGAACATTTTTTTAAAAACATGTGAAGTGTCGTCTCAATTATAAGTATTCTCTGATCTCTGTGGTAATATGAAAGTTACAAATTAGATCCCAGTAAATTTTTGTTTAAGTGACTTTTATTAGTAATTTTTTAGAGCAATGTTATATATATTTATGTGAATTATTCTTAAAGGCCTTGTAAAATAAGAAACAGTTGATAATAAAGAAAATTTATGTTTTAGGCAAATATGTCACCAAATCTCTCTTCTGCTCATTTCCCACCAAACAGACTCTTGTATGAGCAAGTCATCTTCAATCTTTTCCATTTGGTGGGCCTGGCCAGTAAAATAAAGTAAGTTTGACCCATGTTAGTTTTAGAGGTAAGTGCCAGCTCCATAAGGCTAGGGAAATAAATAAGTATAAAATAGCTTTGTCCAGCAAATCTATAGACTAAGCGAATTTCCATTTGTCTGATTGTATTTTCACTAAAAATGTCAGATGTAATTCATATTTAAATACTACAGTATTATATACTCCAAAGCTTGATATTCCTTTAGCACCCTTTAAAAATTTTCAAAAGCGGGTGCTCCAACTTAGGAAAGGCACAACATAATACTAGTGGCAAAGTTTCTTTAGCAAATGAACAAGCTACCCAATACAAAGCCAGTACATAAACTCCCTGAATACACTTGATTATCAACAATGCTTTGAGACAAGTATGAAAATAAGTAGGTGTAGGTGGGTGTACAAGCTCACTCAACGTCATTCAAAACTGATTAATTGCAGTGACATCAGCAGTGACGTCAGTTGAGGTAGGTCAGATGCGTGACGTAGGCAGGACAACGTCATAATGCGTGACGTATGATGAATGACATAATGTGTTGTTAGTAAAATTACATGTAGGTCAAAGACAAAGTGTTTAAAGTAGGAAAATGGGAAAGGGAAGGAATTAAGGAGTAATTTAGTTAACAAAGACTTAGAATGTCCAACAAAGGTTTAGAATGTAATGTAGATTAATTGTGTTGAAATATACTTACTCGTTCGTATCAGAGAAATCACCTAAGAACTCTTCGCTCATCATGTGTTCAATCATAGCTATTGTCTTGCGGTCGTTTAAAAGAATAGTTGAAGATATTTCAGAACACTGAATGCTTGACTGTTAAACAGATGGACGACTTTCCGTTAGTTTGCATTGGTGAACATTGTTTAGTTCAGTTGTTGATGAAATAGTAGAATCTAGAACCATTTTATTGTTATTGTTGCTCATAGTTGTTAAAACATTTGCGTCTCAGGAACGAATATCACTATTCGTTAGAATTTCTATTCGTTATTCCCAAGTATGGACATGATGAATAAGACCTGGTGAGGTCGGAGCCTCAGCCTGTAGCTGCGACGTTAGGTGGGTGATCCTAACCCAGACTACAGCGGCAGGTGGAGTTCCCTAGAGTACAGCAACAACGCTGGGATCTGTGTATTGAACCAGATTCCCATGGGACTACTGGTGGTCATGCAGATGATTTCGGGGGTGGCAACTAGTGTCCAGGGCCAGTGAACTAGTGTGCGGTGGAAGGGGCAGTGACAGGTCCAGGAGGGTTTATCCGGACCAAGGCGACATCTGTGTCACAAACCAGATGCTCGAGATCATCGGGGCGGTAAACCTCAGCCAAGGCCACTGCACGGTTAAGTGTGAAAGTAAAATCTATAAATCTATACGCGAACCCTTGAAGGCCAACCCAAATCTCTGTACTGAGGCCTACCTGGAAACTTTGCGCTTTATAGCGCGTGGTACTTGAACCTGGCATATAAACTTGTGGTTTTATGTTACAGAGTGGAAAAGTACGTCACATGCTCAACCATCCACAAGAATCCCATCAATTCCTAACTTACGCTTACTCTTTACGCTCTTTATTTGTATCTACTCTAAAATGTTGCCGTGGGTGAGGAAACCGTCTCAACCGTCTAAGATGGGTGTGAGAAAACCTTAATCTCGCAAGGAGGAAGTCGAAGAGGCAGTAAACACCTTTATCAACATTGGTGCATCGTCAACAGCTGACTCAGCTTCACAAGATCATCTAACAAGCCTACTGACACCCAACGCCTGTGACCTTCCCACACTCAATGGCGCAGATGGTTAGGAGATGATAAGTAGCCGCAGTGACGTCCCTCCACCATCTCTACCATCACAGACCTTCGAGACCATCTTTTTCACTGGAGTGGAAAAGAACCAGTCTACTTCACCCAAAAGTAAGTCTTATCCGACTGCTATGACATACCTAAATACTTTACTTACAGTGATGGATCCTCTCCAAAAATCTCCAACTGTCAGTCCTGTAAAATGTTTGTATGCTCCGTCGTCACTAAATTCCTTAAGGTCGTCAAGCCCCATACTAATGGACGATACCAAGCCACAGTGAGAGCTAGGGAAACTTAACCGAGACAGAACACAATGCACGTATACTTACAGACATTGACAGAAAAAAATACACAGAGTACAAAACTATCTAAAATTAATAGAACTCTGTGTTGTATGAACGCTGACAGTATACAAACAAGAAACAAAAAGAATCACTACCAACAACGTCATTGAGTCTATTTAGTACAATAACTTCTACGTCTGGACTTAGTAACTCAGCGACGATCATCACTACCATGTCAAATAAAACTGTCAACTAAGTCTATCACTTCAGCGACTTCACTTCATAGTACTTCAATAATCCACAGACCACCAACAAAAACTCAAATCAAAGTTTTCAAAAAAATGGAACGAAAAGTATGTTTACATTAACACATCACCGAGCTATCGTACGAAACAAAGGGGAAAACTTTGTACTAAAAGTACCTTACTACATGGAACTATCGAGGACGAAAGGTCCTACATTAGACGTAGGACTCAAAAAAAGGCAGCGGATAAAGACCTTTGTCCCTACAAGGAACTACACAAACATACATCACCATGTTGTCACATATGACCTACCCAAACACATCACGCATCCGACCTACCTCAACTGACGTTACTGCAATTAATCAATCAATTTAAATGACTTTGAGTGAGCTTGTACACCTACCCCTACTAAAAGCTGCATATTCTTGTACCTGAATATGAGTGTGGAATGGGTAGTTAGATGGTTTGTATTGTATACCTTTGGGCATAAGACCAACAGTTTCTTTAGCCTAAGCATTTTTTTTTAAATACCAATGATGAAATTAGGGAGAACATTCATTTTTGTTCTTTTGGAATGAAAATTGGATGCCGCTATTCCCATATAGCTGCGATGTGTACTTCGGTATCCAAGAATTAATTCAATGTTCACTAGCTAGCACCAACCCATTCACCTTACTGCACTGGTTGGAAAGGTCAAGTGACCTGGTCAAACCACACGTACATACGTTGTTACGTTGTTAGGGTTTTTTTGCATTACCTAACAAGTGCATAAAAAATGTTAAGATAATGTAGTTTGTATTTAATGTTAATAGCATTAGCATACATAGGTGGCACGAATTTATAATGTAGTGTTATGTGTTTGACAGTATGACAGACATGGAGGTAGCCACCAAGAATGTGATGGTGTCTGCCAGTGTGTGCTCCAGTGAAGCGTGTATCAGCTGCATGGCACCTCAGTGTCTGCTGTGCCTGCCTTGTCTCACGTCGGACACTCTCTACAGTCTGAGGCAAGCACACCGAGAACACACCAACAGGCACGAGTGCAAGAGGGTCTTCCCACCTACCATGGTAATTGCATCAACATTCCTGCTCATTAGTTTTAACCAATACCTACAACTAAAAATTTGATAATGGTTGTAGTGAATTTTCTACATTCAGTAGACTTCCAATAATCCGGCCTTGTATCAACTGGCATCGTGCCCAATACCGTGGTACCTCTCAATGTCGTTACAGGATGTGCCATATTAGTGAAAACAGCCTTAATTATGATGTGTTCAATTTGTATTAATGATTTAGAAATAAGAGTTTAACTAACTAACTTACACAATTCAAATTTAGAACCAATAGAATAGTCACTTTATTTCGAGTAAATTTTTACAATAAAAAAGATTTACTTTTAATGGTTATGTACAAACAAAAATTTATCCCCTTTTTTAATTAACTAGCAGTTACGCGTTGCTGCGCTAAAAACTATTATTTAATTTGTTCTTTACGATAAATAATAAAAATGTATACCAAAAACAAAAAAGAATATTTATTTTACTTAATACTAATTGCTAGTGGATAAACAATGTTTTTTGTTTTTTCATTAGGTGTATAAATATATCAGTTTTTAGCCGTACCTACCACTACGTGAGCATGCAACATACAGCTGTCCGTGTGAAAAGCATGCATTTTCTAAATTTTAACCGGTGATAGTCAGGGATTGCCCTTGTACCTTATAATGATGATTGCGAAAGCAATACGTAAAGGAAATTGTATTCGCTTGAATTCAAAGGGTAATTCAGATGAAATCATCGCTATTCTTGGGATTAAGACTATTTCTCCTTTAAACTTACCACTGATGATTGTTGCTTCAATCAAGTTTGGTGTCATTTTTTAAATCGTCAGTCTGGTTCCGTTGCAAAGCTTGGGTGGTTTAAGTTTCTCATTAGCATTATTGGAGTTCCTTCTTTAAATGACAGTAATGTGGTAGGTTAATGACAAATTGGAAGGCATTTGAATACCTGGGATAGCACGCATGGTTATTATTCACTTAATAATTTATGTTAGATTGTGTGGGTATGGAACAAAAGATTAAAATATCCCTTTTGACGGATCTGTACCAAACTTCACACAAACCATCCTTGAAAAATGATTAATAATGCACATACATACTTCCTCTTTTATAGACAGATATATATAGATTAGTAAACTCAGCCAAATTTATATTGGCTTTAACACGTTCGCTGCTGAGCGCTAGATGCCAGGACGGCGCCAGGAGCTGAACTAGCGCTCGCCGCTGTGTAACATTGCCGCTGATACACTGAATTGCAGTAAAAACAACAGTACCTAGTTATACTGGATAGCAATGTTCTGTAATAAAACTGGCTTTGGACATAGTACCAAGTGATTTTGATAGATAGCAGCACTACCCAGGCTGCAGTCGGTAAAGTAGTGTAGCTATCTAGCAGGAAAGAGGTGGGACAAAGCCCTGTTCTATACGACCCTGTTGGTGATTTTGGGAAACTATATTTTTTATTGTCAGAAAAGTTTGTCCCCACGAGCTGCAAAGAAATATAGGACGCTCGTGACGAGCTGGCTGATCCATGGAAACGTTAAACAACAATGAACGGAGATGTTCCGGAACGTTCCTAGCTCCTGGCGCCATGGCCCCGCTGCAGTTCCGGAACGTTCATAGCAGCGAACGTGTTGAGCTATGTTGTGTGTTGTTTGGTAGCAATGGAAGTATTTTTTAATTTATTATTCCCAATAAAGGTGCCGGGTTATCGAGTGTTCCGGACTGTATAAGAAACAAACTATTTGGAAGTAGCTATGCTTGAAAAAGCCTTTTTGACTTTCTATTTTAACTCTGAAACAATTCCATTCCTCTTTCTTTTAGGCTCTCTAGACAGCAAAAATTGTTTGTATGTACAGCTATAAATTATTTATTTATAATTAGATAGGACAGATTGAGGGCTCCACTTCAAGTTGTTATTCTCTGGGTTATCCAATAGAATAGCTATAGGTCGGCCGCTTGGAAATCGATCCCGATTACATGCACGATGAATCCTCGTACAGGTCGCTATTTGTCCGGCCGACCTATAATGGTGTATTAAATTATCAACACTACCTAAATTTATATTTCTAACCCGTATTAATGATTTTCAGGAATCGTCAAAAAATCCAGATATCAAGGATTCTTTGAGTCCAGAAAATAAGTTAATGGTGCAATGGTTCCATGCTAAGTGCCTACAAGATTCCTCGTGGTGCTGAATTAACTAAACATACTTGTGTGGTACTTATGCTCATCAAATAAAGTATTTACAAAGTATTGTTTAGTCTGAGGTTTCAAGGTACCAAGAGTGGTCGGACCCAGATACATGCAAACACCTACTTTTTGCTGTTTGTAACATCACTTACAGTGTACCTACATTATTTATAACTGTTTTTCAAGACTTTAATATTGTTATAAAGTAAAGTTATATTTATAAATAAAATTTGTTATACAGTATATTGCTGTTAATACTGTTAATATTTTCAAAACCTCATACAGTGGTTGTCGTTTCAAGCTTACTAAGAGCAAGAAACCACTGTGAGCTGTATTTGATTTAGAAAGTCATGAAATCCTGGCAATGCTCCCACCCCCACCAATAATCTTTCCTGAAGATGCCCCTGCCTGCTAAACTTCGACAATTGTTTGGTGAGAAACCACAATAAGGAGTCAATCTTGATAAGAAAATAAAATTTATGAATCCCGTGAGGGACTAAATACAAGTTTTAGTTCATTTTCAATTTTGTTATGTTATCATGACCAAAGGGTTGTATATTTTATTAAAATTGTGACAAATATTTTTTTAACAAAACTACTATGATCAAATTAAAATTATTGCCTGGATACATTTTGATCTCTTTGTGAATACCCAATTTCTTCAAACATAAGCTTGTTCTGTCAGGAGATGGTCTTCATTAAGTTTCTCAGGATAGCGTTGAACATTAAATTTCTTGCAAATCTAATAGAAATTTAAGTTAGTAAACACGTTTTAGTCACGAAAATAAGTTTGTTAAATTACATCGAAAAAAATAAGATAAGGACAATATTTTAAATGTACACTCAATCTGGCTCATTTTAGGACGTTTCTAACATACAAAAAAACAATAAACTTAGCTTAACCAGTTCAATTTATTTAGTTTATTCAGTTAAAAGTTTACTAGAGATACAGGTATGTACACTAAGTTTTTTGGGCTTTAATATGGTTTGCTGGAAATTCAATAAGCATTAATCGTGAAAGTTCAGTTATGTATAAATTGATACCAGAGAAATTATTATTTTTAACTTACCAGCTTTTTGTTTCTTTTGGAATAGACCATGTCCTTGGCAACCTGGAGATGCTCTTTCAAAACTGAGGTCTGCTCATCTTGCTGGCTGTTGTGGTAGCCTTTGTATATCCAGTGGGCTAAGTATGATATGGGGTCTGGCGGCTGTTTTACTGCTATCTCTGCTAGCCCTCTCACTAATTGTGGACACATAGTTTTTTCTAGGTATAGAACATCTTCTGTCCAGTTCATTTCTAAAAGAAAATTTCATCCAGTTTGAAACAGGTGCCTAATATTTAATAACATTCAGACTACAGGAAGGTCCCATAGCTCAGATAGCCATGGCTTTCTAATATCTAATATCTAATTCTAATTCTAATACCTCCAAAGAATTTTAATTCCTACAGGTGTGATACTGTAACTAAACTGATGTCACGCCATAGTTCTGAAGACTTTTAAAATATTGGACAGCTCTGATGAAACTTATAAATGTTTACTTAGGTCCGATAGAAGCCATTGCTCTAAGGTGCAATGAATGGGTGGCAAGTGCCAAACTGTGTGTCTACACGCCTTGTTTTCTTTGGAACTTTGACTTATAGTATTTTTTTCTTTAATGCATAGTTACAGTTTAATGTAGCCTATAGCTACAATTGATTCAATGAGCAATATTGGTTCATATAAACCTCTTGGTTAGACGCTTACTAAAATCGTAATGATTTCTGTACAGTAATATTGGTATACTAATGTTTATATTATATCTCAATAAACGTAACTAATTAAATTAAATCACATAAATAAATAACACAATAAGGGATTGGTAAAACAAAATAAATCACTTGAGTGATTTTACCTGTGAAAACGAAGTTATATTTTTAAAATTTCAATAGGGCTATAGACCTGGACCCGGGACCGATTTACTTTTTCGTTTTAAGGTTCCTAGAGGCCAAAAACACCATCCGTTCAAATTCATATATATATATATGTGTGTGTGTGTCCGTTAGCGCGATAACTCGAGCAAAAATTATCCGATTTTGATGAAATTTGGTACAAACGTGTAAACTTACATTTATTTGAACGAGCGAACCAGCATGATCGGACGATGGGAACGGGGGTTTTATAGGGTAAAAATAGATTTTTCCCATTTTTTACCCTAAAAACACAAAATTTCACAATTTCTTTCTAGACCATTTTGTAGAGCTTAAAACCAATAATTTAGTATATTGAAGCGTTATTATGCACCTAATGGTTACGGAGAAAATTCCAAAAAATTTAAAATTCCCATGTTATTCTTATGGAGAAAAAGTCAACTGTCGTAGTTTGCTTGTTTAGGCCTAGCGCACACGGTCGATTTTTCGATCGGCCGATTAAAAAATCGGCCAAAAATAAATCGCCCTTGATTTATGTATAGGCGCACACGTGGCGATTTTTTAGACGAGAAATTGATTTTTTTGAGTGCGTTTAAGCTATCTTAAAATGGACTTTTGTGCTCTTCTAATTAGAGCAAAGAAAAAAGGAAGACAACTTCAATATTGGGTTCATCCGATAGTAAGCCAGAGACTTTAAAATCGACAGTTTTATAAACTATACACTTTAATTGATGACAGTAAAAAGTTCTTTAATTACTATAGAATGTCTGTTGAAAGTTTCAGTTTTTATTATAACTGCTGTGGCCTTATTAGCAATGAAAACAACACAACTCACACTACTCCTGCGGAGAACAACAAGCGACTGGCCGATTTTTTAGTCGACCGTGTGCGCGGACTGATAACAATCTGTACGTTACAGATTTTCGGGCGACAATCGCCTCGCCTACGAATCTGTGGCAAAACCCAGATTTTAAAATCGGCGCAATTCTCGATCGCCTGTGTGCGCGCTTCCATTCAAATACATGATGCACAGATCAGCCGATGAAATAGTCGCCTCAAAATAATCGCTCGTGTGCGCCTAGCCTTATGAACATATTTTGATCAAATTTAGAAAATAAATTCATTGTATTTAACATTTTACAACAAAAAACCCTTCTTTAACCTCCCTGTTGCAGCAAACCTAAGTACTCGTTAAACTAATTCTATTTAAATAGGGAATAGATGTGATTTTTTTTAGGAGACATTTTAGTTTAAATCCAATCAGGCAAATGGAAATTCGCTAAGTCTGCAGGTTTGCTGTGGCGGGGGTATTTTTTTATACTAACATATTTTTTAATGGGTCTGAAATTGTATGTTACCTATATTAAGCAAAGGAAGGGGTACTTGTTGCTTAAATGTGTCTTTACCTACTAAAAATTCTATTTATAATATTTATGATTTGGGTATGCTATGGAAATGTAGGCTATCTACCTATGTTTATTCAGCAATAGTACGCTCTAAGAGTTACCTATAAGTTGTCTCATTAAACTGTGTAATTCTTCTGTAATTGGATGATTGCGGGACATAACATTTGTACATTTTTATATCCCAGATCACACTTAATAAAATTACAATGTAAAAATCCTTTTACACTAGTAACAATTGTGTCTAAAGGTTCTGTTTTCCCCATTCATTTGGAAGTTCATTCCCCTTTCATGGAAGTTATGTTAAGATTTTGAGAGAAATTAGATTAGGGCTTATGCTACGGTACATAATTGATTTAAGAAATTCAAATTTAAACGTATCAGTTAACTAAGTTTTGTGGCACAAATAGACTGTTTAGGTCGGTTAAATTTGACCCACTATTGTAGCTGAGTTTTTCGGTGAGATTCAAAGTCCAGGCTATCTTTAATTCAACTGTGGTCTTATAGCTATAGTTGAAAAGTGAATTGTTAAAACTTAACACATTCACTACCAGGTAACATAAGGCAACTCATACAGTGGAGTGTTGATGGCTGATTTAGCAACATGTTAAGTTATAACAAAGTGTGAAAGTTACGATTGCAAAACTTACTTCTTAATGAATCTTTTTGATGAAAAAACTTGGAAGATGGAATCATTCTTAGCTCAAAGTCTTTAGCTGGGTCAAAATCGTAACTACGTATGTCTTCTGCATGTTCTTTACCATTCCATGCTTCTTGTCCTTTAACTGTATTGTCACTGACGTGTTCCTCAGCTTCTGCTTCATCTGACATTCCATAATATTCATCTTCTTTAAACTCTTTTCCGATTTGACCTTCTCCACTTATTTTCTCTTCGTCATCTTCTTCCTCTTTTTTATCTTCTTTATCTTCTTCCTCTTTTTTATCTTCTTTATCTTCTTCCTCTTTTTTATCTTCTTTATCTTCTTCCTCTTTTTTATCTTCTTCCTCTTCTTTATCTTCTTCCTCTTTTTTATCTTCTTTATCTTCTTCATCTCCTTCAAAATTTCCACTTACTTTTGTGTTGTAAATTTGATTTTGCTCTTTATCTTTCAAGCTACCCGCAGTTAACAGAGACCCTCTTTCTTCTTCTCTTAATGTCTCTTCATCATTCTCTAAACCACTTTTCTCCTCATTGATTGAACGCTCTCCAGATAATATACGATCACTTGTTTGTTCATCTGTATTTTCTTCTTCCTGACTTTCCAAAACATGTTCAGCATCCATAGGCCTACTGACGTGTTCTTGATCATCATTTTGATCTTCATCTTCGGTTTCCTTCCTATTTGTAGTTTCTTGAATTTCAATGTCTTGCATGGAGTGAATTTTCTCTTCACTTGAAGCATCTTTTTCATCTAATTTTGAAAGCTCAGTTTCACTTTCAACACGAACATCCGTCTGCTCTCCTTCAATAATGCTACTTTTTGGTGTTGTAATAGAATCATCAGGTTGACTTGAATCAGGAGGATGTTTTTCTGAGTGTTTTATTTCTATAGATGGTTCAATATAATCCCTTTCTTTTTCATCTGCCAAGGACAGTGAAAGTGTTGATTGGTGATCCATTGAACGCTGTTGATGAAACAAAATACTGTCTTGCACTTGCACTTCTATTGACCTGACTTCAGGAAAAGCTTGTACTGAAACTGTATCAGCATCTCCTGTTGTAGATGGATGTTGAATCATCTTAGAACTAACCGATGGTTGCAAATCTTTAGTTGGTTCAAACTCTGCACATGGCTTTAATGACATACTTTTTAATTCTTCAAATACTGCATTTACCCTCTCTCTTAGAGTTGGAGAAGCATTATCAACTTTAGTTATTCTTTCTTTACATAGATTGCCATCTGTATCAGCTCCGTACAAATAAATATCCTTTAAATTTTCATTGTGTGGCTGTCTTACTCCTAATAACTTTTGAGAAACTATTGCAGGTTTTTCTGTCTCATATTTCTTGCTTCCCTTTTTTGATTCTTCTAACTCATACTGAATTAACAAGATTTTGTCCTTGTCTCTCTTTTCTTTTTTTAGTTTTACCGGTGTTGACGTGGCAGTAACTTTTAAAGATTTAGATTTAGAGTGTGATTTAGGTTTTTCGGAATGTGGAATGACATCATATAGTACATTTTCATCTGCTGTGTAGTGATTTTCAATTCGTCCTTTACTTCCCTTTGTTTCTGAACGTCTGTTATAGGTTATCTCAGTGATGTTTTCATTTAATTCTTCAACGGTATTAATCTTTAGCTTGTGTTTTTCTTTTAATGTAATTTTATTTACTGTTGTGCCACCAACCTGATTACATTGTGGTACTGGTACATTAATTATATATTTAGAGCTGGATTTTCCATCAATCTGATCACGGCTATGCACTTTTCTAATTTGTATTATTTCATCAAGTTTTCTTTCATCTTTATCTAAAGATTGGGAATTTACAAAGTTCCTTATTTTACTTGGAGTAATTTTAAAGCATTTATTTTGCTGAAGCTTCAGTTTACTTTCCTCTTTGTCCATTTCTCCTTTGTATTTATTTGAATTATAGAGCGACTTTAATACTTTAGATGCTTCTGCTTTTGCTTGGTATCTTGACGTTTTATTTGTATTTGTCATATCAACACTCTTTTTGTCTGAAATATTTTTTTCTGTGCTTGAGGAAGTTAAGTCACTTCCTAGAGATTGTTCTCCAAATTCTTTAGGTATATGGGTCATATAGTACCGAGTATTTTTTGAAGCAATTTTAACAGTTCCCATTCCACCACATTCATTCGGTTTGATTATTAGCTGTTTTGTACTTTCTCCTCTTTTAAGCAACATTAAGTTACTATGTTTTTTCATCAGACTTTTTATTTTTTCCTGTAAATTTGTGTGTGACATATCGTGATCTGAACAAGTCATTCCATGTAGCCTTCGAACAGTTTTGGCCCATGGTGGAATGCATTGGGGATTGTCAAACCATTTGGTATCTTCCACTGTTGTTGAAGATTCAGACCTCGACAATGACTCAGCTGGATGAGTTGTAAGATTTGAACTCAGCTCTTGTGTGTGCTCAATATCTTTAGAGTCAAATTTTATAAAAGATGAATTCTCGCCTGATTCTAGATTTGGTTTGCCATATTGGTTATTTATTACTTCATCTAAACTTTTGTATGAAGATAATGTTTTCATTTGCTCATGTTTGTTACAATATTTTTCAGAATTGTTAAACTCGTTGTCAGTAATATTGGGATTTTGTACTGATGCTGTGATTTGGCTTCTGGATCGTCCTGAATTTAAAGATAATGTTTTCATTTGCTCATGTTTGTTACAATATATTTCAGAATTGTTAAACTCGTTGTCAGTAATATTAGGATTTTGTACTGATGCTGTGATTTGGCTTCTGGATCGTCCTGAATTTAAATTATGAGTTTTTGAACTTTGTGTTGAAATTGGCTCCTCAACAGAGATCAACTCTGAAGTAACACTTGCCAGAGAGGTTCTTGCTTGTGTTTCTCTCTTTGAACCGACTGACCTTTGTTCTGAAATAGAGTGCACAGTAATTCTTTCAATAGATTTATTTTCTTCATTTTTTGATAAAACCTTATGGAAAGACGATTCAAAATCTCTAGTTGTGACATTGATTGAATCTAATTTCGTTCTCACACTTGAACTATTTTTGGATGGAAAATGTGCCGTCTCTGTAAATGATTTTTCTAAAGACCCTAAAGACTTTCTTGGTAATATTTCATTTTTCAAACCTGAATTTGATTGCTTCAAATCCATTTCACTTGTAAACTGAGGGATTGATCCTCCACTTTCTGACAAATCACCATCCATGTCAAAATAGCCTAGTTAGTAGTTATTATGTCAAGGTTATCAGCAAGATAGAATATTTACAATACTGTAAGATAAATTGAAACAACAGCAATGATAATGTATCTGAAATAATACTACAAATCTATTTTGAAACTAAATATGAAACTTTAAAATCTATTTTATTTGCCTCCAATAAACGTTTTTATTGATGTTTTCATTTTATTTTTTAATCTAATAAGTAAATCAGCTGATTGAGTTACTTATAGTGAATCAATGTGTTGAAGTCAAATTAAAAGTGGAAAAGAGATTACAGACTTCTTTTAACAACCCTAATGTGAGTAATTTGTACATTTACCAGTGTAACGGTTAAGAACAGCTCTAAAATGATACATCCATAATAATACCCCTTGAGAGCAAACCTGCAGACTAAGCAAATTTCCATTTTCCTTAATTGATTTTTTTATGTGCCTGGAGATATAGATCAGTACTTTCATAAACATCAGCGTTTGTTACACTGTTTCTATCTCTTGTTAGCAGGGTCTAGTGTTTTTCTAGTGGGGCCTTGGCCTAGTCTACTGTTGTTTATATTTTAATTGTCCATCAACATTTGTTGCAATTGTTAATTTTTATAAATTTTTATCTTAATATCTGTTATCAGTATTTTGTTGTTGGTTTGTTATTCTTTGTTAAATTATCATATTTATTTATAAAATGTATTTATTGTTAAATCACATTCCATACTGTTGGTAATCCACAGAGCTGACACCTAAAAATTAACATATTAGACATGTTATTTGTAATGTCTAGCCTGACTGTAGCCATGCTATATACATGACAATTGTCAATGCATTTTTTGTAATGTCCAATGACAAATAAATATTTCTGATTATTGATTTCAGAAATCAATAACCTAAGTATTACTTATAAAAACAATACTTCAAGGTGAAAATGCTAATTAAGAGTCAATTAACTTTCTCTAAAATAACTGAAACAAAGTACAATATATTTAATTCTTCAGTATATCAATCCAACGGGCCAGTATGCATTTGTGGCGGGTAGACACCATCGCACATGAAGCGTACATGTCAATCCACCACCTCATGAAAAGGAAGGTATGGGGGTTTAGGGAGTGGGAGACAGGGGTGCCCAGAGGGGGGTACTGTGGCGCGTTTGCGCCACAGGAATTTTTGGGGTGGGGACTATTTTTAAGGGATTTTGGGGGGGATATTTAATTTTTGCTAGCTGTCATAATGGCTGTATAATTTTGTACAAGCAGTCCGAAAAAGTGTTTCTCACTAAAAGTAGCTCACTATCAACACCAACATTTTGCCGTTCGTAATTAAGATTGCTTCTAAGAATGGTAAAGCACCTTGTCAGACAACCCTTAATATACCAGTGTAGAATTTTACACGCTATATATGTTTTGTTGGTTCTTTAACTCCACCATAGTCAGGATTTACAAAAGATCCCCTTCTGGAGGTGTCGTCAGTATACGTTACAAACATTTAACACAAAACACGAAACGATTACAGATAGGCTTATCAGTTCACGCGCGTACATTGCCGTCGGCAAGACTGGAAGTAAACTGAATCAGGTTCAGGTTATGACGGACTGACGTGGTCTCTGAATTGTCGTCTGCGTTTTCAACAGCTGATATTGGACTATTGTTATAGTAACTGAGAAGAGTATTGAAAATATAATGGCTTTCATAATTAATTGAGTGTTTTCACTCAAAAATGTTGTGATGTCCCCAATTTTATGTATTCATATATTTCAAACTCCTCAAAGTATTTAAAAATTTCCTTTCGTGCAGTACTATAGAATTTCGAGACCATCATTTATATCCAGCATATAAATTGGTTATTATTGTCAATAGTTTTGAATGGAAAACTCAATTATGAATCCCGTTATATTTTCAACATACTCCGTCACTACAATTAGTCCAATATAAGTTTTTGATAACGCAGACGACAATCCAGAGACCACGTCTTTCCGTCATAACCTGATTCAGTTTACTTCCAGTCCTTCCCGCGGCAATATACACGCGTGGATTGATAGATGTTATCGTTTCGTGTTTTGTGTACAAACGGATTGTCTGACAAAATACGTTCCTACCATTTTAGTCATAAAAGGCAATCCTGGGGCTATCAAAATGAATTATAAGATTACTTCGTCACAAAAACCTTTTGTTCTGGTAACATGGTATTTTGCCCGGCGATTTTTGTAGAAGGCAGCCTGGAAGTGGCGAGCAACAAGTCTGACTTATTTCGTGACTCTGCCTATAATTTTGAAACAATTAAAATAGGTACTTATTGCCAAAGTATTATTAATACACTTAAAGCTGTTTGAATTCTTAATACCCTCTAAACATTAAATCCACCTAATATATTGTACAGTTACAGTACTGTGTTGGAGTAGAGTAATTCACTGAGTATAGGCCTATTGTTGAACGTGTTGAAGACGTTGTCTATAGCAATACTGAGCACATGTTGGCTGACAATACAAATTCGGAATTTTGTAAATTGAAAAACTTCTAATTCAACCATTACTTAGATATGTATTGTTAAATGACGTTTCCTATTAAACATTTAATTTTGATTCTCAATCAGCAAGTTTGTTCTTTGTACCTCAAGTTTACTAAATACTTTAAATACTCGTTTTATGAGGTAAAGGGAAATTGTCAGATAAATTGGTGGGGGGAGGGTAGGTTTAAATAGACGACAACATAAATTGGGGGGACTACTCCTTTGGCTTGGGGGGGGGATTGCGCCTCTGGGTTTAGGGGGGATGGGCACCTCTGGTGGGAGAACCTTTCGCGCCGTTCCGGCCAAACGTCGGGGTTGGTTCGGCAGATTGGCCCTAGCCAGAGGTCTTGTGAAAACTGTGAAGGTATCAGTATTCCCATCTCAATGGGGGCAATGACCAAGAAGGCCTCAAGCTGCAGAATTACCTTGACACGGACCACTGGGCATTTGTCGGGGGAAACTCAAACCCTGACGGAAAATTCCTGGTCATGATAATTGCAATATACAGTTAAAGAGAATGCTACAGACACCTATACCGGTGCGATAGTGACAGGTGCCCTTGGGCTGAATAGGATGACCCTGCTGAAGGTGGTTGGCTTCATCAGCGGCCATCGGGTATTCCGCGGACATATACACAACAAGGGAATTCAAGTTGAAAGCCACTTATGTAGGAAATGTGGAGAGGAGGAGGAGACAGCCTTCTACGTAATATTTATGTAGGCCTACCCAGCCCTAAAGGTCTGTATGAGATCCCTTGGCCTATCGACTGGAGATCAAATGGAAGAACAGGTTCCCATAGTCAAAAGGATCTCATGGTTCACCAAGGACCTGGGATTTGACGGAGAAAGAGGACCTGCGAATGGGGGTGCACATAAAGCTGTTCCAGCTGCGATGCAATCCCATGGTATGGTCACTTGTAAGCCTGGCCCTCTGTTAAAAAAACACCTCATGGATACATAGTGAAGGGTTTGCAGGATGGCACATATTATAAGTATTATGTAAGCTGTAAATGACTGTATATAATTTGTAAGTATCATGTAATTCATGTTTTATAATAATACTAGCTGGCCCGACAGACATCGTCCTGTCCTAATGTGGTTTTATGTCAATGCTCGTTCATTTTCAAGATGAGCTCGTTCGCATGGCTCAATCACGACCTGGTTGAAGTTCGTTTGCTGCTTAGGCTGCGTTTACATTGGAGGCACGCTTGGCAAGTAAAATGGTGGCACACGCTTGGCCAAGCTTGCCCTTTAAAACAAAATTTTAGTAGATTACTGGAAACCGGTGGCGACTTAATCATCATAGTTACAGTGCTCGCCACTAGCAAGCGCACGCTGGGACAAGCGTTAACCTATCCTTGAATAGTGCTTAATAATGCCTGACTGAAAGTTTCATTACAATCTGTCGAGCGGTTTCGGAGTCCATAAGGACAAAACAAACAAACATACATTGAATTATATATATATATATATATATATATATATATATATATATATATATATATATAGATTATGACTTGGCTAATGCAATTTGTTTTGTTAATTTATGGCTTATAAAGTATTTGATTTGATTGTTGCGAGGTGGCGGGTTGGCGGCATCGTATATAGAGCTTCACGACATCCCGCCCCCTATGATAAAAACTGGTGTCTGGCACGTTGTTGTGGTGGCACCTCGCCGCCAAGTCTAGGGTTATAACCATAGCCTCCTCTATATTATATAAAAGAAACTGAGATTTTAATTTGTCGTATTATTAAGGAAAGAAATATAATCCTACAATAATACTGATTATTGATATTGGAACACTAACACACTTAAGTTTCTATAATCAATGGTATCACCTTTAAAAGGAGTTCATAGTATTGAGTATTTGCATAGTTTCATGGTTAAAAAAATTATAGCCTTTGACGATAAAAAGCTGTCAATCCCAGCTGAAACTGTAATTATTGTAAAACAATAAACTTAACCACGGCCGTGAAGATAGCTGTCACCAGCTGTCGCCTAGCAGTTGCGGCGGCTCCCCCACTCCTTCACCCTGGCCCCAAGATAGATAGTCTGTTATTTATGAGAATAGACCACGAACCTCACCTTGCTACTGATTGATTGCACCTACTGTTATTACACATTGTACAAGTATACAGGATTGTTCTTATAAAAAAATATGTAAATTTAAAAAGTGAAGGATCTTTAGGAAAAAATGCTGTTAAAAGAACACAAATACAGTGGTTTATTATTTCACTAGCTGTAACCCGCGGGCTTTGCCCCGTTTAACTTCTTATTATCAAGATTATCTCGTTCGCATGGCTCAATCACGTCCTGGTTGAAGTTTGTTCGCTACGCTCACTCACCTTTAGGCTGGAGCTCGTTCGCTACGCTCACTCGCCTCCAGGTTGAAGTTCGTTCGCTACGCTCACTTACCTTTTGGTTGCAAATTAGCTGTTGTCATAAATGTAAAAGAAATAATAGTGCTGCACCCTGTTGGTAATCCTTGTAACTTAAATGCTATTGAACATCATAGAACAGAACCAACTTGTTTAATTGAAACAGCTGTTAAGATTCAATAGTTCCATTTCTCATAAGGTTAACATGGGAAACTCCAGAGCCACTGGGGCGGAGCCCGAAAGGATTTTTGAAATAAGAATATGCCTATATGTTAATCGGGAATGTGAG